TATAAAGAGGTTAACTAATTTTTATTGAGGATTGGGATGAAAAGTTAAATATATTAGTAATAATTTTTGGTTTTTGAGTTAAATAATTTTACAATTCAAAAATTTTAATTTTATTAATGAAAATCTGTAAATGTAAGTTTGAGAATAATTGCTACTCTTTAGATTAAAAGACCTTGTTCATAATATTTATCAGTTGAAAGTTTTTAATGGCTTTTCAATATATCAAATTCGAATTTCTGAAAAAAATTAGTCTATTTGAAATTTTATTTTAGATTTTATATTATAGCTGAACAGAAGATTTCGAAAAAGTATCAATCTGATCTTTTCACAATTATCAAGAGAGAGGTTTATTTTTAATTTTCTTCTTTGACAAAATAACCTCAATAAATCTGAAATTTAATTAAAGTGGACTATTATGATACATTATCAGAAAGCTGATGATCCAAGTTATTATAGGATTATAATAGATTCTTGATGGTCTATGTTCATTTAGAATTATTATCTTTAAATTAATAAAAAGAACTATTTCTGAAATATTAATCTTCTAAAAAAATCAAGTGATTTTATTAGATCAATCTGAATTTTAGAATGGAATCGTTGTTATTAATGATCATGAAAATCCTATAATTAATATCCCAAATAAATTAAATGTGTAAAGGATTTCTTAATTAATAAATCAGAGAGAAATCATCTAATAGATAATAATGAAACAAAAAATTCATTTTTCAAGGATCTCATTTAATAGACTATCAAATAGATTAACTCTAACATTTATGAAAGTCAAATTTAAAAAGAGTTTTCAAATATTATTCATGTTACATGCTCAGAGCCTGCAGTCTTTGATTGATCATCTAATAATTAAAAATACAACATTTCATCTTGTATTTTCACAAATATTTTATTCAACACTTAATTAATTTTTTTTGTAATTTCTTTTATAATTTGTTTTATAATTTCATGTTTTAGCAAAAATTTACCATTTGATATCTTTCATCCTATTGTGGAATTCGCTTCTCAAAAAGCCTAACTCTAATTTTAGTTCTCTCTAAATATTCGGTCAATAAATCAGAGATATTTGAGTTGATAAATAATTACTTTCAAGTATTTAAAAAAAAAAGAATTTGTAAGTTTTTGATTTTACAATTTTTCAAAAAAATTATTTAAAATTACAATTAGTAACAAATTAAACAATTTTTAGAATTTTTCAAACGGACACAATCATAAACTCAAGTATTTAAACAATTGTAAAAATAACGTTTTGAAATTATAATATCTTCAAAAAAGAAATAATGTTTATTATACTTTGAAAATACCAATCTTCAATTATGATTATCTTAAATTTTGATTAATCTTACACAGTTACTAGGTTCTAACTGATATACAAATCTTAGAGTCCATTTAGGTACTACAAATTCATTGGGTTATGTAATAAACTATTTTTTAATTTAAGAAAGTATTACTTTTTTTTTCATCAATGTCATACGCTATCCTTTTCAATTCTTTGGACCTGTCGAAAAAGGAAGGTAAAGTAAAATAAGATTCAAGTTTATCTTAAAAGATGTTGTCAAGGATTTGTTCAGGAGTTAACCATCTTTTAAGATACAAATCTTCAAGGTTTATAAAATGTTATTCCGAAACTGATTGCAAGAAAAGTTTATTACATTCTAGTCTAATATTTAATACCATAAATTTACTCTTTATACTTTAAGATCTTTAACTTAATGTGTCTAAATACTATTTTTGATTGGAAATTTACCAGCTGAATTTCTTAATCTTTCAATTTCATTAATAAATACAGATTATTTTTTTAATTATTTCACTTTATCAACCAAAATTTCTTCCTAAGTGCACGCGCTTAAAGTTTTTTCTCTTATTTCCTGTTGGGCTACTTGATACCATGCAAAAAGTAAAGGCAATGATTATATAAAACTCCTATAGAGTCTGTAAAGAAAAATTGAATCATAAATAATATATACCTGCAAATAATAAAGTGATAAATTGTTATAATATCTCATTAATAGTTTGGCTTTCTGATTCAGACTAATAATTGTTGATGTGATCTTAAAGAAAAAGATACATGAATAGGTTTGACTTTGAATTATTCGAGCTTTAGAATATCTTTTAAACCAATTACTCGTAAAGTAAGAGTTTATAGAGTGCAGAAAAAAAAATTAAGAAGCTTTCAGTTGAACAAGATTTAATGATACAATTTATATTTTTTCTCTTTTTTTTATATCCAAATCATGAAAAAATTGTAAAAATCGAATAGGAGATCCAAATTATGTTTCAGATTACCTTATGGAAAAGAAATTTGAATTAGCTAAAATAAAATCAATATTTTTTGGCTTAGGGTAATTGTAGTAAATAACTTATGAGGGATTCAAAAATTATTATAAGAAGTTCTTTCAATTAGCTTTATAACTTTAAAATCTATTCACAAATCTATTCGAATCCTATTTAATTATTGAAATTTCTCTTAATGTTTATAAGTATTCGGTTAAAACTTACGATGATGGAAAAAGAAATATTAATATACATGATCTAATAATTTATTATTATTTATCATTTGTTTGTTAAAAGCACCTTATATAAATAATTCTACCTACATCAAAATCGTTACTATTAAAAAGCTTTAAAATAAAAAATAAAATAAAAAATATATTAAATTAAAGTAATAAAGTAAGGTACAACAAGAGAAAATCTTTGGGGACATCTTTCTGCCTAAATATATGAAATTTTAGTCTAAATGGAATTTAGGATAATGTGAAAAAATTTTAAATTTGATAATGATAAATGAACATTAAGCAATAATCATTTCATAATTTTCTTAAAAATATGAGAATGCATTTGAAATTTTCTGAATTAAAAATTATAAGTTAATAGATCTATAGGATTAAAATGAAACTGAATTTAAATCAATAAAAAAAATCCTTCATTCTGGTAAATATCTCTTCTAAACTACCTTTAATTTCTATTATATATAAAATTCAATATTTTTTGCAGATATTAAAATGGATATATTTATAAGTTCAGTTTACTGATATAATTCTTAAATTAAAAATTTTTTTAATATTAACTAATTAAAGAAGCTTAATCAAACAACATTCTAAAGTATTATTGTTATTACTGGTATAGGTTTCCTATGTGTTATTTTTTTGTAAGGTTAAAGGGTACTCTTCAAAGTTAAATCTAATTTAATAAGATTAAGTTAGTTTAAAATTAGTAAAAGTAATTTAAAAATTAAAAATAAATTCTATAAAAATATTTGAAAATATTATAATTAGAATAAAAATAAAAATAATTCATTGTCATAATTTTTAAAATAATTGATAAATTATACCTTTGTAATATTATTCAAATTGCGGATCAATGATGAATGCTTTTTGATAGCATTTAATTGCCTAATTGTATTGACACATTTCATTTAGGCAATTACCTTTAGATTATTGAATTAACTTTACCTTTGTTAAGAAAACAATCTAAAAATTATGGATCGATGAGCAATGCTGTATCATACGATTTAATTGCTTATTCAAATTGACCCATTAACTGTAGACATGTACCTTTAGATTATTGATTTAAATACACCTTTTATATTTAAAGAATGTATATATTACGGATTGATGGTCAATGCTTTATCATACTATTCAATCGCCTATACAAATTGACCAATTTACTGTAAGCATGTACCTTAAATTATTGCATTATATACCTTTTTTATGAATAGAAGCTATAAATTATGAATTGATGGCCAATGATTTGTCATACCATTCAATTGCCTCTTCATATTGACCAATTTACTGTAAGCAAAAACCTTTATATATTTGATGTTAATATGCCTTTGAAATGTAAAGAAGGCACAGATTACTGATTAATGGCCAATTCTTTGTCATATCATTCTATTGCCTTTTCATATTGACACATTTTCTGTAAGCAAAAACCTTTATATAATTGATTTGAATATACCTTTTAAATGTAAAGAATTTACAGATTACTGATTAATGGCCAATTCTTTGTCATACTATTCTATTGCCTTTTCATATTGACACATTTTCTGTAAGCAAAAACCTTTTAATAAATAAATGATTTAAATATACCTTTGCCTTGTAAAGAATGCACAGATTAAGGATTTATAGCCAATACTTTGTCATACCATTCTATTGCCTATTCATATTGACCCATTTATTGTAGGCGTGTACCTTAAAATTATTACTTTAACTATACCTTTTTTATGAAAACAAGCTAAAATTTACGGATTGATGGCCAATGCTTTGTCATACCATTCAATTGCCTATTCATATCGACCCATTTTTTGTAAGCATACACCTTTAGTTAATTGGTTTAAATATACATTTGCCATGTAAAGAAAGTAAAGATGACGGATTGATGTCCAATTTTTTGTCATACCATTCAATTGCCTATTCATAATGGCCGGTTTTCTGTAGGCATGTTCCTTAAAATTATTACTTTAACTATACCTTTTTTATGAAAACAAGCTAAAAATTACGGATTGATGGCCAATGCTTTGTCATACCATTCAATTGCCTTTTCATATCGACCCATTTTCTGTAGGCTTACACCTTTAAATAAATGATTTAAATAAACCTTTACCATATAAATCAACTATTTCAAATGATTATTTTGCTTGAGATAATGTTTATTGAAGTGTTGGAATCCCTAAATTTTAAATCTCTAATTAGTTAATTTAAATATTTGGATTTTATGATTTTTGGCTTGCTTATATGACATCTTAGTTTCTGGGAATCATTTTAAATTTTTAATAGAAATAGCATTAATTAAAAATAATTTACATTACAAACTTCAGTATTAATCAAAAAGAATAAAATTATAAGTTTTTTAAAAAGAAAATTATCAAAGAGAACACCTAATGATAAGATATTATAGATTATAATATACTTTGATTCCATTTATTCAATATTGTAAAGGATTTTTTTTGGATTAGATTATTTATAATTACTATCATTTATATTTAATAATAAATATGAAGTCATTTCATAAATAAAAAATATAGATGATATTTCAAATTATTGAAATAAATTTCTAAAATATGAAAACTTTTTCTATAAAAATGGACAGATTTTATACTTTATTAGAGATATTTATAAAATATATTGTTTGAATTTTGAATTAATATATTAAAAGGTCAGAAAGGATTAATACCACTGGCCACAATTTCCCTGGGGGACAAGGGAACATTTATTAAAAGGTCATACTAAGTTTTTCTACATTTATATAAAATTTATAAAATATTACTTATGTAAAAAATTTGTTATTCATAAAAATCAATAAGTCATACATTAATTGATAGAGGGGCGATGCTGAAATATAATATGAATACCTCATCTATATACCTATTTTAATTATTAAAATATGAAAACAATTTTCAAAAAATAAAGTGTTCACTTTTTTCAATAACTAAGATTAATTTTTAAGCAATCTTTTTATTAACAAAAAAATCAATCAGAATTGTATTTTTCATAAAAATAGTAATATAACAAAACATATCATACATCAATTTGTAGCAACACCTCACTTTCATAAGTCTTCAAGTTATCACATAAATATGGATGCAATATTTCAAAAAGTAACACTTCCCAAAATAAAAAATTTTTAAACTTAATATAAATTCTCTAAAAAATAATGAAAATTATTAAGCAGGAATTTAAAGTATTCAACCTCCCCCTAAACTCTGCTCAAAACCATCTATGAAACTAATTAAAATCTTAAAATATTACAATATAAAAAAATAAAATAAATAAAATTCAAAAAGCAAAAAGCAAAAAAAACAAAAATTAGGTAAAGCATGTAATATAAGAAAAAATAAAAAAATAAATTTGACTGCTTTGCTATCTTATGTAGGTAGGACTGTTGAGTTAGGGAATAAGAAGGCCAACCCCAAATTGTGTATTAAATTACAGGATTGATGGATTGAAATGCTTTACAAAAGGCTTTAGAAATATTTACTCACCCATTTAAAAAAAAAAGTTATTGATCAAAATCAAATTACATATAAAATGATATTTTGTAGATAAGGAAAGTATAATGGAACAATTATCTCATATGAAAAATTATTATTAAGTGTATTAAAATCAAATTTATAATGAATTATAATTTATTTCTTATACTAATCACTTAGAATCCAGCTTAAAAAAATATGTTTATTTTGACAATGATTTTAAATTATCTTTATTTGAAGAGAAATTATTTGTAGCTAACATTTATCTAACAATAATAATATTTGGTACCTATTTGTTTCAAGTTGGACTCTTGAAAATCTCAGAAGGTATTATCTTAATTTTGTGATTAAATCTTTCTATCTCTACTTTTTCAGATTATATTCCTTTAAATTCCTTTTTAATTTTTTTGTTATGGTGGAATCTTTTGAAATCTTTTCCATAATTTTATGTGAAGAATTCATAAGAAGTGAATAATAATTTTTAAGATAAGCTCCAGATATATTGAAAATAAATGGATAACTCAGTCTAACGCAAAGCAAAACAATAAATATTGAGAGTGTATTCGATGAAAATTAATTATTTTCATATTCTGATACATATTTAGCAGCAGCAAGGAATATTGTGATAGAACAAATCTAACCTGAATATAAATCCAAATTGTTCAAATTCTACAGAATAAAAGGCTTGTTTTTTACAGCTATCAATTAATAAAAAAGTAAGCATAGCCCCAATAATGAAGCTTTCAATAGAATGTTCGTTTCAAAATAAGTTAATAATAAAATCATAATTGTTTTTTTTATTAATTTAATTATTTCCCAATAGTAAGTAGTATTTTCATATTCATTAATAAGATAACAAAAATTTTTTCTAATTTTAATTGAGTCAAGTTGATTTCTCTTTATATACATTAAAATAAAAAGGGAGAGAGGTATAATCAAACAAAAGAATCCTATTCCTGGAATTACAAAGAAAAACAACCAAATTTGATGCTCTCTAGATCCAAAAAGTAATGAAACATCTCCCTAAATAAAACTTTGATTTGATATTTCTCTTCTAGAAAGAATTGAAAAATACCTAATATAGATATATTTTTCTTACATCTTAATCAATCCACCATAATTTGAAACATATAGATATAGCAAACTATTTGATATAGTCTCAAAATGAAAAAATTACATTTTCAATTTTTGATACTTAAAATATATGAGAAATCCCATAATAACAAGAATAAATTAAAAAGACATAAGGGATAGCATTGTAATAATTTTAGAGTATATCAGTTTTATTGATTAGCTTTCTGATAAATAACAGTCTAAATTATTAGTCATAGAGTAAGAAGTATTACTAGCTGAATCAATAAAAGTAAATGAAAAAGAAAACTATAAATTAAATGTAAAGATAACAGAAAAAATCCACAAATAATTTAACAACATTTTTATAACAAAACTTTCATGACCTTTATATAAATTAATTATACCTTAATTTAGCTTAAAAAGTAGTTTACCAAATCTTTATCTTAATGCTAAATTCTTAAATAATTGATTAGATTATTCAATACTTCTTAAGGTTATGATGATTGATAAAAACGACCTAAATTAAACTGCTAAATACCATATTGATGATGTTATAAAAGGAATGATACTATCCTATACACCATAGCAAGATATACATTCTAAATTTTATTAATTTTTAAAATATTTTCCATCTCCTTTTATATTATATATATCGCATTCTTCACATAATGCTCCGATATGTCCTTTAGAGCATATTTAATTGCCAAACCCCCAGCCACCTTAACAAAATTACATTTTTTTAAAGCATTCTTCTATTTAATCTGATAAATAATCAGATCTCCAAAAACCTTCTAATAATTCAATTTTATTTTCAGTTATATTCTTAAATTTAGTTTTATCAAAAATTGAACATTTAGTTGCATTGTAAATGACAGAGTAAAAACCTTAACTTGATTAACAAATCTAACACCCTTAATTTACATAAAATTCTCCAAGTTAACATTTTAAACTTTTTGCTTGAATAAGATATCCAAGACTTTGCTATTACTAAAATGAATTACAACTTATTTAGATTAATAAGCTTGTTTTTTCTTGATTGTAAGGATCAAAAGTGAAAGAAAGAGAGCTTATATCATAGTAACTATTTTAGATATCGTATGGCAAATTTTTTGTTTCAATTTACTTTCCTTCTTTGTCTATTTTATCATCATTTATTAATTTAGTCATTAGTGTGCAAGTAGTATTTTAATAGTTCCTTTGGTTTTCATTTAAACTATTTTTTAAGATAAGAGCAAAATTGTAAATATATGATAAATATTTCATGCTATAAGGATTAAAAAGTTTATAAGCTGACAAAATTTGATTACTTGGGATCATCAAATAATTTTTAATTTAAAAGGTTCCTTATTCCATAATATTATACTATTTAAGAATTAAATATTCATCAATGATATTGTTGATAATTTTTTGTTTAGATTACTATTCCTTATTATTTATTGTCAACATTAAATGATTAGGAGATTCAACTAGATTATTACCAAACTAAAATGCCTTATTGAATAATAAAAAAGAATAAATAAAATTATTTAGATTTAACTTACCTGCATTTTTCAAATAAATTCCACCTCCTTCTTAGGCTTAATTACCAATAATTATTGTTGATTTTATCTAAAAGTCGGTATCATTCATTTATAACTACATTCCTCCACCTGATTCACTGGCATTATTTTGAATTATTTTGCAATTTGCCATTTTAAATCTTAAATTAGAAATTTAAATTGCTGCTCCAATACTGCCAAAATTTTGAATAAAATAAGAATCTCTTATTTTAATTGTTGAATTAATAAAATTGGTATTCAAAAAATTAACACAACCATTTTATTTCACCCTATTTTTATAGCAAATAATATTATTTAAATAAATTTTTTTTAAATTTTCAATTTCAATTGTCATTATTCCTTTAGCAAAATCTGATTCCTCATTTTCAATAAGATCTATTTATTAAAAGAAAAAGGAACTTTAATCTGAATTACTATACACATAAAATATTTAACTGTATTGATTAGTAGAAGATTGGAAATATGATGAAAAATCAATTTATTACAAGATAGTTTAATTTTTCCATATATCGCATCCAATTATTTAATAATTTAAATCTTAAAAAATTAGGCTTCTTTTTGTTTTAAATTAATAAATTATACTTTAAATTATCTTTAATTATTAAATCAAAACTATTGATTCTGAAATTTTAGATACAGTTATATATATTAAATCGAATTAATACAATTTTTATATGCCAAATAGCTAACTGTCTGAAATTCTTGTATTATGAGAATTCACAATTTTTATAATTGGAGATAGAGCAACTCCTTCAAATTATAGTTTTTTAATATCTACTTTACAATTTTCAAGAAAAATTAAAGCGTTATTTTGACCTAATATATTATTAATTTCACTTAATGAAATGAGGCCAATCCAAGAAAAAAATTTCATCCACAATTCTTCACTTTATTAACTTTTTAAATTAAAATTCGCATCAAACACTACTTTTCCCCAACCTAAGCTTTAACTAACAAAATCGTATTCATTAAGGAAAGGCAATTTTCTATTAAAATATCACTAAGTTGAATAAAATTGGATTTTAGAGATGGTGTAATTGTAAATATTGATGAATCCATTCTGTTAAAAATATTTGTAAATTTTATTTGATTAATCTCAAAATATAAATGACTATTTGTAGAAATTATTGTTATACAACCAGCACTTTCAGTAGCTAATAAATTACTGAAAATTGAATGAATATAAAGATTTTATAAACTGATTATCCTTTGGTTATAATTTCAAAAATTGAACTTTTTTAAGCAAGTATATCTAAAAACTGGCTGTCATAGCAAATGATAATAGAAGCCATAATTTTTATTCCTTAATTTAAAATTTTTAATGTTGATTAAACAATAGAGTTCATTTCATTTTAATTATATTCACTTTGTAATTCAAACTCATAAAATTACTGCCATAAAGCTTATTCTAAGAAATTATGATTAAAAACTGTTATATTTTAAATAACAATCTAATTGGCACTTAAAATTAGATACGGATTAGTTGAATTAGTTTATGCATTTTGAGAACATTATATTTTATCAATTTTCACAAAGCTATCATATGAACTCAAATATAATAAACTAATTTATGTATCCAATAACTCATCAATTTATTAATGAATAAAGTTTTTAATAAAAATGATATCATTTATGAATATGCTTAAATTAAATTAAGAATATAGACTAAGCAGTGAAAAAGAAGCTGCTTATTAGTTCTTTAATAAAATATTCCCTCTAAATTATAAATTCGTGAAAGATACTTTTTTAATTGAGTCACTAATGAATTAGTTACTAAAAATGATATCCATCAATGAATAATTAATAGAGAATTGATTTATTATGTAGATGTTAGATAATTCCAATTATTAAAAACCTATCAATTCAATTAATTAATTTCTAATTTATACTGAATTTGAACAGAGATAAGATAAAGGGATTTTATATTTTTATTCTGAATTTTCATATCTTATGGAATTAATAACAACTGACTAAATTTCAAAAAGGTATAAAACTACTAAATTTTGCAAGTTTGCAAATAAAGCATTCTTTAAAACTAAATTAGAGCAATGCAACTTCAATAATTAAATTTTTGGAGATTAGATATTAGCCAATTAATTTTCTTAAATTTTTATATTTGTAATAAATACAATGTAATTATTGATTCTAAGACTTGAATAAATTGTTATTAGACTTGAATCTCGAACAAAAGTACTTTAATTATCCTCATAATCCTCTATAATACATAGAATAATTTGTTAATTAAACATATTCAAAGTTGAAATGATTGTGGATTCAATGAGAACATTTTGATATGTTTTTATCATTGTTAATTCTAAATTATCATTAAAAGCTAATATAATAGAATTATTCAATTAGTTCTAAACAAAGTGTAAATTGCTTGCTATTATTGAAAATCCACTATAGCTTAAGAGAAAATAGGAAAAAGAAAAGTAACATTTTCTTATTTCAACAGATTAAAATTGAATTTTATTTTGATGGTTAAAATCTGTTTGTAAAGAGAAAAATGATGAATTCACAAAAGAACAATTTTCAATTACAATATCATTTAAAGATATAACTGCTTAGTTGTTCTTTAGATAAAATAATGTTGAGTTGATTAGCTAGCAATTCCTCAAAAACATTTTTTTGATATTTAATAATATTTAAATTGATTGCTATTAAAAATCAAAAAATTTAGAGTTTTGAATGATAGAATCAACAATACTAAAATTCTAAATCTCTATTTTTCCATACAGTTAAGTGTAAAAAACTGTTAAATCTATAAAAGAGCTTTGAGTCAATAGGAAATTTTTTACTGTTATATCTACCTTACTGCTGTTATTGTTAATGATAAAGCCATCTTATAAAATAAAGGTTAAATTTTGGATTACCACTGAATCGAAATTATTTATCTAAATTGATTATTTTGATTAAAAGACGCTATCATGAATAGAATAGAGATTAAGGTAATTTTCTTAAAGGGAAAATATAAATTACTTTAATGAGGTTGAAATTGCAATTCCAGTAGTAAATCTGCATAGTTGTTGACTTTTAATTGAAAAATAAAAATTAATTGTCAACTAGTCTACTCCAATTAGATTACAATATTCTTTATCTATATCTTCTTCATAATATCCAGGACGATATTTATTCAAAATACAACCTGTTAAACAAAAATCAAACGAAAACCTATTATAACAGCCTTTATTAAAACAGTATTTAACATTCTAAGTATAAGGATTAATTTTGACTTAAGGATCTTCGATTGGCTTAATACACTTCATAGTATATGGTAAGTTTATTTCTGAAAGCATAAACTGGGAATTCAATTTCTACAATAGAATAAGAACTTACATAAATTTCTTCTTCTGTTCTCTGTTAACAATATTCGCATAATTGAGAACAACGAACACATTTGCCTTCTTATTCAACTCTAATTGGCTATTTATAGTAATTTAAAGAACATTCCTTGCATATAAAATTTAAAGAATGTTTTATGCAATTAATACAATCCTTACTGCAATATTCGTAGCATTCATATTGTTCTGTCAACTAAGAGCCCTCTTTACATTTGATAGAAAACTCAGTTAAACTGTTAAGATTATGTGGATAGTAATATTATTAAGGTAAAAATTGCATCATAAAACTTTAAATCATTAATACCCAACCATCCTATTTATATGAATCACCTTAGACTCGAGACTAGGTATATTCTATATATATGTCATCCAAATTTGGAAAACAATCCCCAGTTAACAAAGAGCTGACGAATCCTTCCCTACAGTGTATACACTATATTTTGGTTTGAGGAGTTAGAACACATTATAAACAATTAGAGTAATATTTCTAACAATTTATTATTTCAGGTGCAATGCTGAAATCAATTTGGGATGAGAGTGTACAAATTTCTTTGCCCTCCAAATTAATAAATGACCTCAAACAAGTTGAAATTTTTGACTATTATTTTAAGCATTCACCAATAGAAAAATAAAAGACAAATCCATCTTCACACATTGCACACCCAATTGATATCATTTAATCTTAATTAAAACTTTAAAAATCTTTATATAAGGTACTTTTAAAGTTAATGTCTTCCTTTTGATATTCAAAACAATAAATGCAATTTTTTATCGGGCATAAATTGCATTTATTTCTAGAGGTAACATAGTAGGGAGGATTACAAATGGCATCAGTTTCATAATATATATAATTATTACATTCTCCATTTTCAAATTATTTTTGACTTGAGCAACTTAGACATTTGAATCCAACTATTGAGATATATTTTCCAATGCATTCGTAATTCTAACTGACATAGAATGTCTCAAAAGCTTAAGATTTTTGCTACAAATCTTGATATATATAATCCTGGTCTTAATATGGGACCTTATAACACGTAGAGCACCTGAGTACATTAGTATCAATTCCATTAAAAAGCAAATAATCATAATATTAATAGTTAAGCATTTCTGTCTAACTTTGTTGACTTATATGTAAGTCGTTATGACAAAATGGTTATAAACTAAATGATTTAGGATTTTAGAGACATTCTAAACAAGTTCTTAAAGTTTTACTTATGATTGAAGGACTAAATATTTGAACATAAATTACCATCTATAGCATTCGTTATCTAACTCATAATAACCATATTCACATTCTTGACTGATGAATGGCTCTTCAATCAACTATAATTATGCCTCAACATAGCCAATACAAATTTAATTATCGATTGTATTAATAGGACAAATACATTCTTTGTATTCCGGTAAGTAAATTCTCTTACTTTCTTCAGAACAAGATAAACAATCTTCTTTTGTTGGTCCATCACATTCTAAACAGGTATGATGGCAATTATTTTCAGAGAAAGATTAATCACAATTAAAAAAATAAAAGTTATTTATCTATAAGTCTAAATAATTTGTTTCAAGCTATTCAAAATTTCCAAATTATAATTTAAATTAATTTTCTTAAAATTGCCTAACTTATAATTATTTACTGTATTAAATAATTTTGTAACCATCATAGAAAGTAATCTGAATATCCATCTAACTATTTAATAATTTAATTTAAATCTTATGCCATACTGTTATGCTGTTTAAAATCTCGAATGAGTTTATTATTAAATTAGGATTGTTAGTAAAATCGATTGTGACTGATGGAAAAGTATAACTATAGGTTGTAACTATAATTTAATTTTTAATTTTAGACAAATCATAGAATACTTGTATAGGAGACAAATTTTTATTCGACAAAGTTGGATTTTCAAAATTGGCAGCTATTTTTATAAATGGATAAATAAATTCATCATTTTAATTTATGATATTCTTAATTTTAAACCATCCTGATAAAATAAAAGAATTACAATTTTTTTATTCAGAAACAAATTCTCCTTTTTAAGAAGATCTTAGAAATAAATCTGGAATTTAATTATTTACATTCGGTTAACAATTACAGGTTTCATACTCTTAAAAAATATTTTTCACATATTCGAACCAATTATCAATTGTTATTTAATCTTCTATCTATAACTTTTGTATTATTATTCTACCAGGAAAATACGAAAATTTTTATTCGGTTACAATTGATTTTATTCTCGATTTACTTACGATTAGGCTATCTCCAAATGTAATTTAAAAATATTATCCAAATGGATTTATTATTTCATCAATTTTTTACCTTAATATTAATTATGATTATGATATTATTAAAATTTCAAATTGTTGATTGATTGGCCACGATATTATTTCAAGAAAATACCAAAAGCTTTCATATTCATTTCCTTCAATCTGAATCTCATATATTTTCTATTCTCCATCATCTTTCACAAATTTGATATATTTCTTTATTTGATTTTTCTCATTATCTAAACAATCGTAATACATGAAAATTATCTCATTATTGATTATATCAATTATATTAAGTAATTAGTAGCAATTACTCCCAAATATTCCAACCGGGCCAACTTAGGATATTGAACTTAAGGGATTGTATTTAGACCAAAGGCCAAAATTAAAACATTGGTTAGGCTAAGAAATTTCCTCTTCAATCTTCACCAATTATTAAGCCACTTAGTATGCAGGGTCCAAAGTTTATATCTTAAATGATTTAGAGGTATTCATGCAAATAAGAAGAATAAACACAATCATTTTCTGATTATTATTTAATCGAAAATATTTGAGTTATTCTTACATTAAATATGACAATTAATCCAAATTAATAAGAAGAGCAATAAAATGTAACAACTCATAATAAAAAGCTAGCTATGAATTTTCGGATCAGAAAAGAAAAATTAAATTTCATTATTTGTAATGTCTTAAAGGAGTACTATTTAGAGAAACCTTAAATAAAAGTTATTTCATATTAAATATTTGTTGAGAATAGAAAAATAATTTATATATTAACAACAATTGAAAATAGAAATCAATTTTTAATTTATTTATTTATTATAAATATTCTATAAAAATATAGTAATAAAATTTAATAAAATTATGAATTCTTAACCCATAATTAAAAGCAGATATTTTCAATTTTTCAAATTTTGCTTAAAAATGAAAAACTATAAAAAAGGGTCAAATAAATAAGAAATTAATATTATAATTTTCAAATCTTCCCTTTAAGGATTAAATCTAGTATATGAAGTTAAAGATATTAATAAAAAAAACATAGTTGAAAAGTTTTTTTTTCATTTTTAATCAACACGATGATGCTGCTTCAGATTTAAGGCATCCAAAAATTATCATTATTTTTGTAATTATCAATAGTTAAGTAAAAAAAAGAATGAACAGAAGTAAAATATGATATCAATATAAATAAAATAGATAAGATGGATAATTTAATTCAAATTTCAATTATTAGGATGATCATAAATTATTATTAGGATTTTAAAAGATTTCTTTTGAAAGGAAAAGCTATTTTTTTATTTTACTTGCAATTCAACTATTCGAATAAGTCAATTAAAATTTTCATTTTAATCATTCTATCTAAACTAAAATTTAAATGTTGTTTTTTTACAATTCAAGTCTCTCAAAAATATATTTCTATGATAAATTTGATAATAGACATTTTTATTTCTTTTCACTACCAACAAATAAAGATAAGAATTTTTTCATTTAAATTTCAATGATCTACACTCATCATTTTAATAATAGAATGAATAACTATATAGAGTTTTTACACATTCTCGATTCTAAATATTGATTAATAATTGGTTAAAATTTTTTAGTTCTAAATCAACTCATTAGGTGGCATTTTTTCAATCACTCCTGTTTTAATTTAGATAAATATAAAGTAATCCAGTTTATTTGAGAAAAATTTGAAACAATGAAATATACTCTTTCATTTTTTATAATTAATTTTATTTTTTATATGTGTTAATATGATGGTAGAAATAATTAATCTATCATGCTTCTCCTTCTTCACCTTCTCCTTCAGCTGTCTCAATTCCAACTTCTTCATAATCCTTTTCAAGAGCTGCTAAATCTTCTCTAGCCTCTGAAAATTCTCCTTCTTCCATACCTTCTCCAACATACCAATGGACAAATGCTCTTTTGGCATACATAAGATCAAACTTATGATCTAACCTAGAAAACACTTCAGCAATGGCTGTAGAATTGGAAATCATACAAACTGCTCTCATTACTTTTGCTAAGTCTCCACCAGGTACCACAGTTGGTGGTTAGTAATTGATACCAACTTTAAAACCAGTTGGGCACCAATCAACAAATTAAATTGTTCTTTTAGTTTTTATTGTGGCAATAGCAGCATTTACATCTTTAGGAACAACATCTCCTCTATAAAGCATTGAACAAGCCATATATTTACCATGTCTTGGATCACATTTGGCCATCATATTTGCTGGCTCAAATGCTGAATTTGTAATTTCAGCAACTGATAATTATTCATGATATGCCTTTTCTGCAGAAATGATTGGTGCATAAGAACATAACATAAAATGTATTCTAGGATATGGAACCAAATTTGTCTAGAACTCTGTAATATCAACATTTAAAGCTCCATCAAATCTTAAAGATGCAGTCAAAGATGAGATAACTTAGGCAATCAACCTGTTTAAATTTGTGTATGTTGGTCTTTCAATATCTAAATTTCTTCTGCAAATATCATAAATTGCTTCGTTATCTAACATAACGCATACGTCTGTATGTTCCAATAAAGAATGAGTAGATAAAATTGAGTTGTAAGGCTCAACTACAGCTGTTGATATTTGGGGTGATGGATAAATTGTAAATCCTAATTTTGATTTTTTACCATAGTCAACTGATAATCTTTCTAATAACAATGATCCAAGTCCTGACCCTGTACCTCCTCCAACTGTATGGAAGACTAAGAATCCTTATAAACCAGTGCAATTATCAGCTAATTTTCTAATCCTGTCCAAACACAAATCAACAATTTCTTTTCCAATTGTATAATGTCCTCTAGCGAAGTTATTGGCAGCATCTTCCTTACCTGAAATCAATTACTCTGGATGGAATAATTGTCTATAAGTTCCAGTTCTGACTTCATCAATAACTGTGGGTTCTAAATCCAAAAACACAGATCTTGGAACATGCTTTCCTGCACCTGTTTCTGAAAAAAATGTGTTGAAAGCATCATCTCCTCCTCCTATTGTTTTATCTGATGGCATTTATCCATCAGGTTGAATTCCATGTTCGAGACAAAACAATTCCCAACATGCATTTCCTACTTAAATACCTCCTTGTCCTACGTGAATAGATATAACTTCTCTCATTTTTCAAGTGTTTTATGATGTTAACTCTTAAAAAAATAATTATTCCTTTTCTGGCTGCTTGGTTTTGAATCCCAGATATCTTCAAGAAGGGGGTCGAAAATGTTATAAAAGAAATATTTTTTGAAAAATGATAAATTTTTTATTATTTTCTACAGTTAAAAAAAAAATTATAAGAATTTATGAAGTAAAACGAATATAATTAAGAAATTTATTAATTTGTCATAAATATAAAAAATAGTTTGTCTTAAATAGATTGCTGCTAAAAATAAAAATAATTTCTATCATATTATATTTTCTAATGATGACCATTAAATAGTTTAAAATATTTGTAATTAGTAATCATTATTATTTTACATCTATTAGAATTAATTAATATCAATATTAAGATGTTCACTACTTAAACCAAAGATGATTAAATTAAATTTCTTGAAAAATTGTTTCAAAAATATCAAAAGTAAATGATCAAAAAAATGGCATTTTCTTTTTACATATCATTTATTCGTGTTACTTAGAGATAAAGAAAGAAATGATACTAATTGAAGTGAATAATTAGAATTTGAACGAAGATAAATTTGAATGCAAAGTTTAATCTTTGAGATAAAAAAGAGAGAGAGAATGCAAGATAACTTGCCATAATTTTCGAAACTAGACTTTTTTATAGTTATATAGATGAATATTCAGAAATATCTTAACCCACATATTGCACTTCTCTTACTAAAATGAATTTTGTTTGTTTTATTCATAGCTAAATGTATCATTAGTCTACATTGCTAAATTTATTTGGAAGTTTAACTTTTGAAAGATATCTAAGACTTTAAAAGAGTTTCTAACTTTTAATCATAATCAGGCCTCCTAATGAATCTGTAATTTCTAAGGAGGATTCAATATTCAAAAGTTAATATGACTTTTATAGATCAAAAAGTTTAGAGTAAATGCACAGACCCTGAATAAAGAAAAATAGTTATAATATTATAGTATAAAATAAATTTAATTTAATACCAACAGAATGTCCTTAAATAGAATATGTTTGATAAACTTATTATAGTGTGCAAAATAAAAACTTAAATTATTTGTATAAATGAAAATATTTTGCATTGTTTATTATAAATCGAAATATTTTGAAAGAATATACTTTTACATAATATTAGTTTAGTTGATATTTCCTATATGCTCCATTTCTTAGTAGTATTTTCAATAATTTCTTTCAATATAATTTTTTGTAAGAAAATTAATTGTCTTTTGGATATTTACACTTATTGGATTAGAATTTTATGAAACATAATCAAAATCAAAAATTATATAGCATTTTTTTTCTTGAATACTATTAATTTCCATGTTCTTATGGTTTCTAATTGATTTTTCCTCATTAACAATTAAAAATAAAGAAAATATTTTCTTTAAATTATATTTGAAAATTAAAATTCATATGTAATCCAACAAAAAATAATTATTACAGATCATTAAAATAAAATCACTTAAGATAAATAATCCCTATTGATTCTGTAAGACCATACGTCTCTTTAAAGAGCAAAATTTAATATATAATGTGTTGAAAAACTTTTACTATAAGCAATAAATAAAAAATTGTATAGTAGATCATTTTAATATCATTTAGAACACTGTTAGTATTTTAGGGATAATAACAAAACATCAATATTTATGATTTATAATTGAGTAAATTTTATGATTTGATTTATATGCAAATATTAAGAATATTTTAGATTTAATAAAAAAGAATTTATCTTTAATATTAACGAATATGGAGAATTTTAAACTTGAGTAAATCGAAGATTATATGTATCAATCGCTATAGAATTTTAGATCAGTTATAGAAATCAAGAGAGAAGATTCTAAAAAAAAGGGTTAACTAAAATAAACTTAATAATATATAGAAAAGATTGATGATTTGAATTCTATTTCTATAATCTATAAATCAATTAAATAAGCTGAATAATACGATGCAGAAGTATAATTCTAAAATATTTAGTTATAAATGATAGAGTTTTAATAAAAACTATAACTAGAAGAATTTGATGAGGCTTGGGAGGACCTCTACAAAATTGAATAAGATAGAATCAAAGAAGCAGAAAATACCATCTATTCACTCCATTTGTATGTTATATTATAATCATAGCAAGGAAATGGAATAATTATAAAAATAATTACAAGAGTAATCTATTCCAAAAATTAAATTTTCTTCAGATATTATATAAAAATAAGCTTTATATAATTAGTTATTCAGAGCTGGGCAGTATAAATTAAATATATATAGTTATGCTGACGCAGATCTAGTTTAGAAAAAATTGTAGGAATAGATGGATTTAGAAAATTAGAAATGGGAAAAATAACATGTTGAAAAAATAGAAAATAAATTGAATTAATTAACGAAAAAATAAATTAATGAATTACAAGTCCTTAAATAAAAACTAAATAGCTAAATCTAATAATTCATAATAAATAGAGATAATTAAAAGCAATTACTTATAAACAAATTGTAGATAATTAAAGTTGAAAAAGAATAAAAAATAAATTAAGATATTAGCAAGATGAATCAATAAGTTAACAAATTATTATAAAAAATGTAGCTACAACAATGAAAATTATTGTTAAGATTATTATAAATCTACTATTCAAATATATCCTTATTAAAATCTTATTTTATTTCTGATTAGTTCAGCTTTCTCATTTGTTATAAATTATAAGTTAAACCCTATAAAACTTTTTGGGGGTTTTTCTTTTTTTCATTCAAATTTTCATTAGGTTATTCTTAACCAATTACCTATAGTTACAGAATTAATAGCCAAATTGGGTAGGCGACTACTCTAATCCAAAATTATTAAATAATAATAAAGAATAGTATAATCAGAACTGTATGATTAGTTAAATCCAGAATAATATATTAAAGATATCCCGAAGTTCATTAAACAAATAAATTGTTGGATGATTATATTTAAAAAATAAGATTAATTATTATAATCTACTAAACAAAGAAATATTTTGAAAGTATATAAATTATAATAACAAGACAAAAAGCTTTGAGAAAAATTTACCAAAAATAATCCTGTGTGAATAATAAAAATTTGAGAAGGATACACAGATGGAAAGGAATGCTAATTTTCAAAGAGAAAAAATAGAAAAAGGAAAATAAGAAATATAAAAGTAGAAAGAAATACATTATTATTGATTAAAGTAAAGGGAAATAAAGAAGAATCGATTATTTGCAGTTATGTTAAGTGTCTCATAGAGAATTTTTTAGACTAGAGATAAGAATGGAATAAGATTTCCCTAAAAATATAAGATAAGTAAAAGCTTAAAATTAAAGATCCTATTAGAGAAAGAAAAAGATGGAATAAATTTAATCAGAGAAAATTAAAATAAATTTTGTTTGATAAATAAGTATTTACTTAAAAAAATGTATTTAAATATCAAACTACAAGGTTAAAATAAGAAATATTTGAGAATTAAAGTCACACAATAATTATATTAGGAAAGCTCTTTACGTTTAGAAACAATAAAATAGTAATCAAATCTTTTTATAGGTTAACAATAAATATGATTTTATCAATATTATTATAGCATATTTTCACTTTCTGAAACCTTGCTCCAAAATTATTCTGCAATTTAAGACAGACTAATTTCATAAGAAATAATATTCTTAATCATGCAGTAATATTGATACTGCTTTTCCCCTTTAAATTTATCAATTTCTACATATCCAACAAGTACAGTTAAAATATCACAAATAAATTGATAACTCTCTATTTCTTTCCCTACTTCAGCAATTTGTTATTAGAGTTTAGCAACATTGTCTTCTTTTTTCCCTTTAGAAAACAATGTTCTAATTGTAGTCTTGCCTGCTAAAACCTCTTATAATTGCAATTATAACTCTTTTTAACGCTACTCTGCATTTGCTTTCTATTACTCATACTTTTCTCTCTCTTCAAATGTTTCAAGAAATGCCTTTAATATTAAACAATTCAAATTACTTTCAACTATTTACCCTCCTTTCTAACTTCCTAATATAGTTATTAAAATTTAGGATCTTTTAATAGGTCACACTAAATAATCTTAAATAATGTATTACATACTAATTAATCAAACCTTTAACCTCTTCATTCTGTATTAAATTAGCAAATATCAATTTCTCTTTTTGTTCAGCATATTCCAACAAAACATTATTTTCATATTCTGGAACAAATATTGTTATGAAATGAATTAACGATGTTTAATGAGCTGATTTGGCTTCGGCGATATTTTTTGCAATTTACTTAAAATTTTATACCATTGGCTAAATTTTCTTTATATATGCTTTAAAATCGTTAATTTTCTAAATAATCTCTCTATTAATTTCTTTCTAGAAGTGAATAATTTTTAATAGTTTACACCAGATAATTCTGAAAATGATTCTTGATATTTATTGATAATCTCATCATTTGTTATTTTAGGAATAGATAACAAAGCCTTGTATGACGTCAAAAAATACTTTTTCAATTTCACCAGGAGTTTTTAAGAAAATTTAAAATTCTTCTGAATACCATAAATATTTGAGAGTTGCTATTTTCTTTAGAAAATCTTCGAGCATCAGCCTTCGTTCATCAATAAATTATTATTCCATATTACCCTACACAGCTTAAGAAAATTTAATACAAAAGCTTTTCTTGGTGGAACAGGTGGTATATAGCATCCTGGCCATTTTGTCAAAAGAAAGGATCGAATAGTCTTAAAATCACTAAATCTTCTCTGAACATCAAATTATCCATTTTTATCCATTCCTTTCACTGTGTACACAATATATTTATTTATTCCTGGGGTTACTTTTGGATCACAAACTTATAAGGTTATCTAACAGAAGTATTGACAAAATACCTCAGTCTCATCAGATTAATCCATATAATTAAAAATAAGATATAAATATAATGGAGAGAGATTCTAATTTACTCAAGTATAATCAAGATCAAATAAAATGTGAAAAATAATTGTAAAACTAATTATAGATAAATTATTTAGTTCAAGTTGTGAACCTGTTGATGAATATTAAAAATATTCTTGTTTTTTTTAATTAGAATAGATATTAGTCTTCGCTCTAATCAGATGATGCAAAATATTAAATTTCAAGTAGCTATTGTCTTTATTATTTGCTTAAGTACTCTCTAATTTTTCAGTTTTCAACTCTCCTCTAGTTTTAAATTAAAATCATCAGAACTTCAAGCAATCATTTTATTTATAGTTGAATATTATAATTATTTTTGTAAAATATTATATTTTCTCTAACTATTTATGCTAAATAATTACTACAGACTTAGCTAATTAATAGAAACTTTGTTAAATACTTTTAATATCTTTTAGTATTTTGCTATTGGGAATGCTTTTTAGAAATTATTCATTATAATATTAGGTCTCTGTATTTACTTTTTATTCTAATTCTTCATTGAAATATACTCTATAATTTAGAGTAAAGACTTAAAAATCTATCAATAAATTGTTTTAAATTCCTTAGTAATCCATCTATGTAGAAGAGTTTAGGTTAGAATGAATAATTATGAATATTAGATTTCTTATTATTATTTTTGTTAAAATTACCTAATAAATTTACATTCGAAAAATGATTTATTCCTTAAATATCTATACTATGAAAATACTTAAATTTGTTTTAAATTTATCGATAGAAAGATGTTATTTTAAGTATTAGATATAAATTATTAATAAAAGAAAAAAGAACAAAGCTCTCTTCTGATTTCATTAATTTGGTATAACTTTCTCTTCCTTCTTGTTATCTTCTCTTTTTTCTTCATCAATAAACACTTGATGCTTGCTTTCTTCATCACATTTTGTATTCTTTTCTCTTGGTCTTCCTCTACTACCATAATGCTTATCACTTGGAATCTATGTACCAGTAGGAGGTTGGCCATCATGTTTAATTCTTACATTTATTTATTAAATACTTCAAGTGAGTATATAATGCAGGATAACTATAGTAACCACGCCCACATCCGCAAATATATGGTCTCGGATTTTCATCATGTTTTGTACATCTTCTAATACGTTTCTTAGCACTAGGCTGATCCTGCTACTATGACATTTCTATATTTTATTTAATTAATTTTATGTATGTAAATCTCACAATTATTTCCTTTATAAGTAAAGCTCATTATATTATTTTATTCTTTCTCTATTGAAAAACATAGATATCTTAAGGTAACAATTCTCTGATTCACTAAGTCTTTTTTTAGAATTATAAATACACTACTTTTTAGAATCTCTTTATAATCAACCAATTTTCTATAATTTTCTTGGTTTTTATTCAAATAAATTCTAATTCAAATTATTAAGAGTAATTTATATGTTAATTTTCTATTATTTTTCTTCTATTATATTTTTTTCTTTTATTATTAGAGGCCAACCAAAGTTGATAAATTATTTGCATTTTAAATTATTCAATAACTCATTATAGACATATTAAATTTTGATAATGCTTCTTTCTTACCAATCATTTATTTTGCTTGGCTATATTCAATATACTCTTGTTTTTTAAATACTCATTTGCTTTTGTAATCAAAATTCATTTTATAATTGTTACTGTTTTGAGATGTTTATTATTTAATAAATTTAATTTCTCTTTTGCATTAATTTAGTGTATTACCACTAATTTTTTTTATTTTTACAATATTGATTTTTTTAAATAGAATTCAATAAATGGCTAATGCTTTTTCAAATTTATTCTATTTTTAAAACTATTATTAATAATCTTATATAAATTGATCCTTTAATGATACTTATTTAGCTCCTGCAATTATTTTGATTATTTAAAGATTCATTAATTTTTTGCTTAATTTTATCTCCTACTTGTATATATGTATATTAAACATAAATAAAAAATTTATCATTTATTTTTCCAAGCTTCTATCTCTCTAACACTAAGTCTGGTATAGAAAGGTAAGGATACTGAATTAGATAACTTGACATTTAATTATCTTAAGCAACTTAAACTCATTCCCTTTTCTTACAACACATGAGGTAAAACTTCATAAGCTGCTGCCAATACATTTTATGTTATTTATTCTGCTGTCTAAGCAACTCTCCCTATTTTTACAGTACTAAATTATCATGTCTAAATTACTATACAGGACCATTTCCTTATATAAAATAAGTGAAATTTTATAATTCATTCAATGCTTCTTAAGTGATATTTTCACAATTGATTGGATATGGTATTCTAAAGATTAAAATTTCATTACTTTTTTCTATCATAAAAGATTTTTCCTAATCCTTTTGCTAAATTTCCATATATCCTTTAATCACAAAAGAATAAATCATATTCATAAAATAATTTTCTCTTATCTGTATAAGTTGGGTATTTTTTATTCAATTTACCATATCCTATGACTTTTTAGATCAAAGGAATATCAAATTCACAAATTTAATCTTTGAATTATCTTTAAGGATTTGTACTAATTATACAAAATTTAGAATTCATCTCTTAATTGTAAATAGCATTTGGCAATTATCTAATTTTAATTAATCATACTCTTTTACATTTATACAGGTCTCAATGAATATTTAATTGGCAATTTGTTTAATACTATTTCTAAATAAATAAAATCATCTTTAATGTCCAATATGTTATCAGTGTGAGTAGATTCTCTGAATTTTAATAAAGCATTTATTGCCTTCTTTATTTGTTTTTAATCTAGAACCACCAGTTTCTTTATGGATTTGCCAATTTTAGTAATTCTATTCTTTTTTATTGTCAAAACCTACTCTTTGGTCTATTTCTTATCCACTTCTTCTTATTCAATATTTTTGCCCATAATTTATAATTATAATAATATAAATTTATAATTAAAAATCATACATTAAATTTGCATTTGGTTGATTCACTCTTGCAAGATAAATAAATATTGATGGTTACTTTGATAAACTTATTTTGATTACATTATGAAGTTAATTCCTCTAATTGATAATAAAAATTATTATATTAGTTATTAGATATAAATGGAAGTATGATAGGAAAAATAAAGGATTGAAAAGAGATATTTACAAGTATAAAAATTATAATGTTGAAATAATTTATTTCTTAATATATTTGGATATAAACTAATTATTATTAGATAATTTAGTATAATAGATTTAATGTCAGTTATTTAAATCATCAAAATAAGCATGTTTTAAGGCTTCCTCTGCAGTGATTCTAACATATGGATCATACACTATCATTTTAGAAAGGAGGTCTAATCCTAATGGACATAAATTAGTAATGTCTTTTCCTAAAGCGGTTGCAGGATTAGTAGGAGTTGGCCATCTTGGGAAAGTACTCTTAAAGTCAGGTAAAGTACTAACACCAGGCCAAGTAGATTCTTTTGGAGTTCCCATAATTTTAAATATCTTAAATAACTAATCTATTTCTGAATCTCCACAAAATAATGGTCTTTTTTAGGCCATTTCAGCAAAGATACATCCTAATGACCAAATATCGACTGGAGTGGAATATTATCTTTATCCAAGTAAAATTTCTGGGGCTCTGTACCATAAGGTAATAACTTCGTGAGTATAGGTTTTTAAAGGTAAACCAAATGCTCTGGCCAATCCGAAGTCTGCAATTTAAGTATTTTATTATTTAATATCTACTAGGATATTTTATGGTTTTAAGTCTCTGTGAATGACTCTATTTTAATGGCAATAGTTTAGGGCTTGTAACATTTAATTAATGAACTTCTTCACTTGCATTCTATCTAACTAAGGTACGCTTTCCATATATTTTTTAAGATCTAAATCTACAAAATCAAATATCAGATATAATCTTGATTCATCATAAACTACATCTTTTAATGGAACTATGTTTGGATGTTGAACCTAAAATTATTTATTAAATTTTACTTCTTTCAATAATGAAATTTCTCTAATAGCAGTGGATGGAACACCTTCGTCTTCATGATCCATTCTTATTTTTTTTAATGCCACAATATCACCAGTTTGATTATCCCTTGCTTTGTAAACTAATCCATATGTTCCTTCCCCTATTTTTTCCAATTTTTAATATCTCTCTTCGCTTTATGCAAAATCCATAACTAACAGCAATTCGTTAATTTTAATAATTATATATTCCCGTATTTATCATACTTTAATATATATATTTTTTGTTGTTTACAAAACAAGTATTTCTTCATTTGAATTTAATAAAATAAAAACTATTACACAGAATCTCTTATTATTTCCAATTTGATTTTCTAGAATTTTAATGCAATGTGGTAACTTTAGATTGAAATCTTACATAATCAAAGTAAATTGCCTAGCATTTATTATTAGCTATAGTTCATTAATTCATGGTAATTGTGAAGACTTTTAACATTTTGAAATCAAAAATAATTTGTACGTATTTTGAAATAGAAAAATAAAAGAGAAATTCCAAAATTTTAAAGTCTAAATTAGAAGTTATTTAAGTTATACAATTAGGAATTTATTTAAAAGATAGATGTATAAATTTTAAAAATCTATATTGTTTTATTAATAAAATAATGGTTCAAATTTGGACAATAGCATAACGATTACGATATGCTCCTCCAAATTCAAGGACTTTAGCATTCTAATTTTAAAATACAGTGGCCACATCGTTTGTGATAATTCCAGTTGAAAGATCTTCACTTCCTTCTCCAAAGAATTTCTTTCTATAATATAGCTTTCCATCCTCAGTTGCAACAGCAATACATCTATAACAACATCCAATATTTGTGATTTTAGCAATGCCACTAGGAAGAGGAAATCTGATAAATTAAATTATTAATCTACCTAACTGGAGAATATTCTGCCTTGCTACCAGACCAATAAACTTCATTATTATCTAAGAGTACTGCAACAAGATCTTCTGCAACAACAAAATCTACAATTTTATTATTACCAAACTTGTCTCTCACAACCTAAGTTGGAAAATTAGCTGTCTCATAAATTTCAACACCAATCTCATTCTTAATACCCATTTACCCAAAATCATTGCTTCCCCATCCATATAGATTTCCATCACTCATCAATGCAACTGAATAGTTATTGCATGATTTTAATTTAACAATAGAAAGATTTAGTTCTTTTTTTAAGTAACCTTCAAAAAACTCATTTCTTTATGGAATGTTAAAAGATTTATTATTTCCATCTCCAAATACACCATAATCACCTTTACCCCATACATATAATTCATTGTTTTCATTTATGGCATTTGTGAATCTCAGTCCTGATTATATGTATTTAATTTTTTTAAGTGATCTTAATGCTTTAACTGGAGTAGGTGTGTATCTATTTTTTGAATCACCATGACCTAATGCTCCAACTTATAAAAATAATAAATCCATTAAAAAGTTTTATTCTTTGCCTCCATATCCCCAAGTCCAAACATCTCCATCATGAGTTAAAGCAACTGTATGATAATCACCAAGTGCAACTTAATTCACTTTAAGATTATGTTTTGTAAAGAATTCAACTAATTGAGGTGTATTATAATCCTTATCTAATTTGCAATCAGATCAATACCATTGTTATGTCCCAATTATCCACTATTGCCAGTCCCCCATGTATAAAGCTCTCCATCTTTTGTGATTAAAGCTGAATGGTTTTAACCCATTTGGACTTATGCTACATTATTATTAAATCCATTGACTAATTAAGGCATTGAAACTCCTTTCACTTATTGTTGACTTCCTACTGCATAACCTAAACTTCCATTAGATTAGCCCCAAGTAAACAAAGAACCTGTACTAAACAAGTACCTTCTTACACTATTAAACATAAATTAATTATTATTTAATTAATTATGGTGAAGTATGAATAATTATTATAATATTAATTTTCTGAACATCTTAGTGTGGCCATTATGTATCTTAATTTATTATGATTTTTAAAGGACATTAATCAATAATTAGATATTGTTAAAAATATGATAAAAATACTACAAAAATTCAATAGAACACTCTTTCCTTTCTCTAAAGAAGTTTAGCTAAAGTAAAGTGAAACATTGGGCAAAGGATTTTATCAATAGCAAATATTTACAGGATGTTTAGCTGAGTATGCTTATTATATTGAATCAAATAAAGAGGCAATAATTATTGATCCTCTTAGAGACATCTAGCCATATCTGTAAATATTATATATATAATTTTTTAGCAACATTGCAAAAGAGAGAGGAGCAAAAATAAAATATGTTTTATTAACACATTTTCATGCTGATTTCATAGCTGGACATCTAAGTTTATAGAGAGAGACTGATGCTTAAATAATAATGGGTCCTAGGGCTACTGCTCCATTCATAAGTAAAGTGTTGAACGACAATGAGTATCTAAAACTAGGAAAAGTTAAGATTCAGGCTCTACATACTCCAGGACATACTTAAGAATCAACATGCTTTTTATTATATGATGAAGAAGGCAAATAACATAGGTATTTAATATTATTAAATAATTTAGCATTTATACAGGAGATACACTATTTTTAGGGGAAGTTGGAAGACCTGATTTGGCAGTCAAGAGTGATATTACTCAATATGATTTAGCCTCTATGCTATATGCTTCACTTAAATAAAAAATTTTAGGATTGCCTGATGATGTTATTGTATTTCCTGGTCATGGTGCTGGATCAGCTTGTGGTAAGAATATCTCAGCAGGATATAGTTGTACTGTTGGAAATCAAAAGAAAAACAATTATGCTTTACAAGAAATGGATTAAGAAACATTTGTATAATTAGTAGCTAGTGATTTACCTAAGCCACCTTAATACTTCTTTTATAATGCAGGATTAAATAAAACTAATTAATTTTAAGATCTAAATTTGATATTAAAGAAAGCAAATACAAAATTGACTCCAGCTTAAATTGTTTCAAAATAAGGAATATAAATAATTGATTCTAGAAATTCTATATCAGATGGATTCATTCCTGGATCTATTAATGTACCACTTTAAATTCCATTTGCTCATTGGGTAGGAACACTTTTACCTCATGATAGAGAAATTGTAATTGTTTGTGAACCTGGTAATGAAGAATAAACAATCATGAGATTATCTAGAATTGGTTATGATAATATTGTTGGTTATTTACATTTTGATGATTGGAAATCATCAGGAAATCCAATCAATAAACCAACAGAATTAGAAGTTTAAGATTTCTTAAAGAGAAGCAAACTTGCATAAATTGTTGATGTTAGAACCAAAGAAGAATGGGGTAGAGGTATTTTGAAACATGCACAATTAATTACTCTTAGTGAATTACCTTAAAATTTAGAAAAATTAGATAAGTTAAGAGATATAAGCATATATTGTGGTACAGGATAAAGAGCAAAAATAGCTCATACATTATTGGTTGCCAATGGATTTACAAGAGTTTAATATTGCAAAGTAGGATATGATGATATCATCAAGTGAATTTTTATATCTAATATAATAATAAAATCTTTAAGTATATTTATTTTGTTTTTATATAATAATCAGTTTCAGTTCGCAAACCCTCATTATTATCTGGCCTACGCTTTTTCTGGATTATTCTACATCAAATAGTTAGCAATGAATTCAATAGGGTTAGGAGGTCTTTATTAAATTATACAAACTCACCTCACTTTAGCGACTTCAGTCATCGCTTAAAGTAGGATTGGAACGACTGTTTAATCCAAATAATTTCTTATAGGAAGTGATTGTAATTGCTTCATTCTCTAAGGTAAATATTTAAATCTTAATTACTTCCTCTTCGCTTGACATGTATTTTTATTTGAAATTTAATTAATATCATTTATTTAATAAAAATGCAATTAGAAATACAACAAATCCAGCCATTGTTCCAAAACTTGAAAAATAATATGGGTAGGCTTAGACCAAATATCTACCATATTCATCATGTCTAAAAGGTCTTACAGTGATTTTTTCTGCTATTTTTAAAAATGTATATCCAGGTTTTAAATAATTGATTTTGAATTAAAATACACCATAAACATCTGGAATCTAGAATAAAATATATTGATATATTACTTTAAATGACAATTCATATTTTGCTCCTTATCCTTTTTTTAGTGGAACTCTATAATATGGGTCCAACATAACAAATTCTAGAATGACATCATTTTCTGTAGAAACATAAGGTATCCATTAATCCTTTTAATAATCCCATTCAAAAATATCAATTGAGAAATAACAATCTTCTCTCAATCTATAATTATAAGGTTTGATATCATCTGAATCTAATCTTCTATGAATTAGATTTTCTGCCTTTAAAATCTTAGATTATCCAAAACCCCATCTAATGATTTCCTAAGTTAATTCAAAGTTTCCCAAATTAGAATTATTTAAATATTCATCACTCAATATTTCCCAAGAGCCTGTAGCCACAAATCTTGCATTATTTCTTCCTTAAGTTGCTCCAACATATATAATATTGTGACTAAGATTAGAACCTGAAAATGCTGTTTCTGACCCTCTCACTAAACCATAAACCTAAAATGTTTCATATGGTGTCATTGCTAATCCTGCTCCTTAATGAGCTACTGGTTTATCTACTTTAAGTATATTCACATTAGTAGTGGTAACAATATTATGATTTCCTTTGATATTATTAAAATAATCAATTACAGAAGAGCCCTAAAATAGCTTTTTGATATTACATATTCATGCATGTCTAAACCAAAACTATTTAGGAACTTTCTAAAGTACTTTGATTAGTCTGTTGATCCCAATAATAAAATATTTCTACCAGAATCATAAAAGTCCAATAATTCTTAGATACTTACTTTCAAATCATTTGTAGTACTAAATAAAATAAGATGATCATATTGCCATTCTCCAAACAATTATAAATTGAATGTATTTGATTAAATGTTTTTATAATCAACTCTGTATGTCTTACTCAACAAATTAAAAAATTGTGAATGTGAAACATAGACTGCTGGATTATCAGATAATACTAAAACTTTCTTTTAGTTGTAGGGAGTCCCTGCAAATACTATGCCAAGTATTAAAATTAAAAATTTAATCATAATTAATTAAAAAATTTCATTCAATATCTTAAAGTACATTAAGCTTATTTATTTCATCAAATAGTTCTTCAAATACCCAAGATTGAGATTCAGATATTGCTTAAATGGAAGATAATTATTCTTCAACTTCAACTGCTTCATTTTCCATTTTCTCAACATGTTATTGATTATCTTAGATTTTACATTTCTATTTGGTTCTCCTTTTCTTTCTCCCTTTATCTGTATTGTTTTATATATATTTTTCTCCTACCTCACTAACAATCACTTTACGTATCTTATTGCATAAATTTTCAATTGAGTTAGACGATTCTTCTTGATTTTATTATGAGACTTTTCTTTTAGATAACATCTTACTAATATTAATTATAAATTAATAAATTATAATAGATTATGATTATGCTAAAATCAATCTTATAGATATCAAAATAATTTTTAAATTATAATAAAAATTAATCACAACAGAGACAATCCTCAATAAATCTGTAATATCTTTGAATAATTGTTTAATATATCTACACTAATCTAAGAAAATTGAACTTCCTATTTACAAATTCTAATCCCTTAAGAGACAGGATATTTGAGTAGAGTCTCATTGAATTCTTTTATTTTGGCACTAAAATATGTTATTTAAATTTTTACATTGTGAATGACTTATCAAGAAATTTTTTTTATTCAATCAAATACAAAATCTAACAAAAAACCATCTTTATTAAATGCACCTACTTATTTTCTAATAAACATTTAGATAGTTCACGTACATTGATATTGACTAACATAGAATTAATTTCATTTAATGATATTTAATCTTATCTCATTAAAGCAAAAGTTAATTAAAATATTTCTATCAATTAAAATCTATGCAAGTAATAATATTATTTATAAGTCTTAGCTAAATTCTTTATTTTTGGATGTAAGTTTTCTAAATTTCTAGCTAAATGTTAACTTTTATCCAATTTGACCCCAAATTATTAAATACAATATTAATTCACTATAAAATTAGAGATTATCAAAACAAATTATGTTTCGTGATATAAATATATAGCTGTTTCTATTAAAGCTTCTTCATTTTAATTAAGCAATAGTCTAATATAATTACTCATTTCATCTAATTTTAATAATATTGCAGTTTAGCAGTCATTAATTTAATTTATTGTTGAAGACATAGACAATTATTATTGTAAATCTTTTAAAACAGTGTGCAAATTCTTTTCAAAATGTTGATGAACCATTTCAATTATTATTTTTAGTAATTCATCATTTCCAAAAATGCTTTCCAAATTTTCTTTTGTAGTTTTATCACTTAATACTTAAGAAACATGGTTGCTTCTTTATAATAAATTTGCAATTGATTCAGAATTGTATTCAGAAACACATAAAATTAAACAAGAAACAAGAGGATATTTATTTTAAGTATAATTTACAAGATTATCAATTATCCATTTATTTTATTTTTTAATTTCTTAATTACTTTCTGATTTAATATTTAGGATTGAAATTACTGTGTTTAAAATGAAATATTCAACTTATGATAAGCATGAATTTTGAATTTTATATAATTCATTTAAAATGTAATCATACCTTTATAAAAAGAGATTAGTTCTAAGACATACAGATGTTTATGGAATAACCTCATGTAATTCAGCTAAAGTCCAATGAGGGAATGACTTTTTTGATTCATATTCATATTTTTCATAATTTATGTATCTTTCAGAAACATGAGCTGTTTTTAAAATCATCCAAAAGAAAAAGTCTTTATCTTTTTGAAATTTAGTTTCTTCAAAAATATCATATGCTTCACTTACATCCATTAATAGCCAATAACATTATTATAATATTATATCACAACATTATTACCTATATTTTTCTTCAACATCATTTTAATTTATAATTTTTTTTTATTAAGTAACTAAATTTACCAAATCAAAGAAACTATAATATTATTAAGCTACATTCTAATCATTAGATATAAGTGTTTATAGTAATTTTTCTGCTTCATTAACTTTTCCACATCTCATTAATACTAGAAGAATACCACTTGGATAAAATTATCCAACTTAATATATTTCAAAATCATGTAATTAAGGAAGATAATATTCTTTAAATTTTCTATTTAAATTTTACAAATCTATATGTCCAATTTATTTAAGCATGTCATTCTCAAGATGAGTTACTGTATTTCTAATTATTTTTTCACTTAAATTATTAATATATTTAATACCAAATATCTTCATTTGTTCCATTATGTGTTATGTCTTTGAATTAATCTGCCAACAATTTCATTTCTACTTTATGTGTAGTTTCAAAATTTTCCAATGTTCTAAATAATTTCTCATAAATCAAAGGATTCTTTTTATTCTTAATAAATTCTTATAGAACTTAATATAAATGATGATCAATAAATAACTTTTCTAATATGACTTCATTATATTAATTAAGTTAAAATTCATTAGTTACAAGTCTTTCTATTTTATGTGATGTTGTTAATATATCTGCTAATTTAGTTTTTTATCTAATTATTGTATTCTATTCAATATTAGTAAATGAATTAAAAGTCTATCTTATAATATAGTAAATTTTACTTGTTTATTTTAAAAGTGTTCTTGAGATAAATGTGAAAATTATTTGTAATCTTCAATTTTGATGTTAGATTGATATTACGATTGTCTTTTTTTGATATCCTAATTTACTTTTTCAGTTAATCTTTTAATATGATCACTCATATAATCCACATTATTAATTGAAAAATTGAATTTCTTAAATAGTTAATCTACTTTTGTTCCCATATCGTCAATTAAATAGCCTAGGTAGTAAATTGGTGCAAATTACATTGAGTCTTTTTGATTGGAATTAGGCAATCAAATCTTTTCCTGATTCTATTTAACATATAGTTGGTTGAGATTGATATTGTTAGAATTGATTTCTCATTTATCTATTTAATTTTATCTGCTTCAATAGAGTCATGAGATATTTATTTGATATTCAACTAATTAGACCTAATATTAGTTAATGTATTTTTCATCTGATACCCATCTCGATAATTACTTTATAGCATTTATTTTTTATTTTTTTTAATTAATCAAATTCACTATCATTATTTAATTATTATTTTATAAAACATTAGTTAATATTTAATTTTTTTTATAAATGCATTCATAAATCTCTTTATCAGAAATGTTCAGAAGTTATGAGTAAGACTATAAAGCTCATATGGAATCAGTTATGTATGATTTATTAAAAATGAGTAAAGATAGAAGAGATGAAACAGAAAAAAGTTTCTCAAAAGTTTAAGATGAACTTTAATAAACAGAACAATGTGTAATTTATTTCTATATAAATTAAAGATTAAATAAATGGAGTTGGAAGCATCTACATTACCTGGTAATTATAAAAAAGAATTAATGGAAACAATTAAATAATATAAAAGAGATATGGCTAAAGTGGAAAAGGATTTTAAATAATTATAATTAGATTAATAAGAAGATTCTAGTAGAGACAAGTTGTTTAATGATAGATAAATTAATCAAGCTTTATTAAAATAAGAAGATCGTTTAATTAGATAAACATTAGAATTAGAAGCAGCCAAGAGAACTGCTTATTTAACAGAATAATAAGCAAATTAAATAGCAATAAATTTACATTCTTAATCAATGACTTTAGATAATTCAATTAGGAAAACTTAATATATAAGAGAAGACTTGGGAGAATCAAATAATTTAGTGAAAATTATGAAAAATAGAATATTGAAAAAAAAATTGATAATGTATGGAGTATTTGGTTTCCTAGGACTATGTTTAACAATAGCAATAATGAGTTGGTTTTTTTGATTAAGAATTCAATTTAAATGTTTAATTATTATTATTAATTGAAAACTAAATGGCGGAAATCTTTGGGGATTTATTAAAATAGAAAAGAGATAACTTTAGAGTTGAATTAAGAAGAAAAGCAACTGAAGAAATCTTTAAACAAAAAAGAAGAATATATACTAATAATGTACAAACTTAATTGACAGATGAGAAAATTCATATTTGGTATATGAATTTAGTGAACTAAAATTATGAAGAGACTTTAGATGAAATAAGATAATATTTATCAAATTCAACTGTTGAAGTATTAGGAGTTATCTAATAAATTAGTTTAATTTAACATTAATTAATAAACATGAAGTATATTCATTATTAATAAATATATGGAATAAATAAGAATTAGATTATCATATTATTTAATAATTACTTTATATATTTGCAAATTTACATTCTTATAATGTATTTGATGATTTGAAATTTTTGTAAAATGAATAAACAATGAGAAAATTGTTTAATTTATTGTAAATGACTTCTTATAAATAAATTCAATCTCAAATATTCTTTTTATTAGCAAATCTAGTTGGTATGGATAATGGAATAAAATCTAGATAATTAGCAGATTATGGATTTTGTACACTTATTAAAAAATTATGGATTAATAATCTAATTTACTTCGAAGTATTTAATTATTATTATTTAATTTTGAGATTGAAAATATTAAGGATTTTTGTTGGTTTTTAAGCAACTTTTTTTCTTATAATTCAAACAATGTGGCTGGTTTTACTTTAAATGAAGTATATTATCTTTAATTTATTAAGGTTAAAGAAGTTTTACCAATAGTATTAGAATGTATCAAATAAAATGAAAAGGATATAAGATTATATTCTTTAATAACTCTTAAGAATATGTGTTTAGCTAAAGAAGAAGTATTTGCAATATTATTGAATAAACTCAAAATATTTAATGATTTAATAGATATGTAGAGGACAAATAATGATGAAGAGATTTAATTAAAAACACTTGAAATTATAGCATCATTTGCTATGGCAGATGATTAAATAACTACATAATTAGTGAATGAATTTAAAATCTTAGACTTCTTTTTATAAATATATATCTAACCAGGTAGAAACAAATAGAAAGAATTCAAAAAAATAATATTATGGGGATTAAATAATTTATGTTGTAATGAAAATTTTACAGTATTACAAACAATAATTAAACATGATTTAATTAAATTTATGTAAAAAGATGAAAATGAAACAGAAATTATCAAAGATATTTTAGAAGTTATTAGAAGTCTTTCTTAATTAAAAAATACAGATTTATTAAAATATGTTTTAATGAGTAGAAATGTTGTAGATATAGTAATGAATTAGTTGAAACTCAAAATATCAAAAACTATTGTTTTGATGTGTTTAAACATAATAAATAATTTTGCATATCAAATTGGGAAACATTCACAAAGCGATATTAATATGGCAATAGAAATGTTTATTTCTAAAGGCTTTGATAAAATACTTAATTAATTAGAATTTGATCCTGATAATGATATCAATCTTTAGGCACAAAGATTAACTGAGACTTTCCTATAATGAGTTGATATAATTAATTAATTGACATTTATTATTGAATTTATGCACAACATTCATTCATCTTTATAATATGATTCTTTCAATGTTGGGATTGTATAAAAATTTTACCAAGTAAACTCAACTTCACATTTTGATTGCCATATATAGAATGAAAACAACCCAACTGTTGTATGCCACATTCCATGATAAAATCTTAAGTAATCCTTATACTCATCTTAGGATAAACTAAAAAAAACTACGGCTGCCATTAATATCATTAAACCTTTTTTCATCTTAAATATATATGTTAGATTAGTACTTTTTATTTATTCAATTTTGGTAATCTTCTTCTTTTGATTATCAAAAAAATACAAATGAATAATTACAATAAAATAGGTCCTACTGTATAATTTAAATCCCATGGAGATTTAGCTTAAGCTACAAATGTTATAAAAAGTCCAAAATAATTTAACATTGTTTCAAGATGTAAATTTTACAAATCACTCAATTATGTAAATAACATCTAAAAACATACAATAGATCCAACATTATCTAATCTATGCCAACCTCCTTCTTCAATTATAAAAAATTTGCAATCAACACTTTCTAAAGTGTGATACATAAAACTTGTTATCAATGTAAAAATGGACATATAAAATTAGAAATCCATTCTTTGTTTTCTGATTATGATGATTGCTGGAATCACTACAAAATTTGTTATTCCAGTAATTAAAACCATCAAGAACATTTCAAATTAGTTGTACCCATATTTAGAATGCACAACATTATATATATCTGTCATTAAGTAATTTATTCATTTATTATAAATGCAATTTGAATTCTTATCAATCATAAAACTAAATACTTTAGTAATTCTAATTAATTTTCATTCAATTCTTATAGAGATTTATTTATATCAATTTCTTATATCAAAATAATCATATTAATGTCTAATCAATATTTACTTTGTAAATATTTGAGATTCGATTTTTAAATAATTAACAATTACATAATTACATTATGAACCTTTGAATTGAACTTAAAATAATTATAGATTAATTAAAAAATAAATTAATTTTTAAAAACATGATGAAAGTACAAATTAAGACCTATAGTAGATAGAAGAAGTCAAATCGACAACAAAAACCCAAAGAATTGCACATCATAGTCATATTAAAGGATTGGGATTATCAGAGGATGGCATAGCTTTAGAAAATGCATCTGGAATGGTTGGATAATAAATTGCCAGAGAAGTAATATTAATATACTAATATTTATAGGCTGCAGGAATATTTGTCGATTTAGTCAAATCTAAAAAGCTTGCAGGAAGAGCATTACTTATGGCTGGACCTCCAGGAACAGGAAAAACTGCAATTGCATTGGCGGTAGCATAAGAATTAGGATCGAAAGTTCCATTCTATCCAATGGTGGGTTCAGAAGTGTATTCAGCTGAAGTGAAAAAGACAGAAATATTAATGGAGAATTTTAGAAGAGCAATTGGTTTAAGAATTAAAGAAACAAAAGAAGTTTGGGAAGGTGAAGTTACAGATTTGAAAACAGAAGAAAAAGATGATTAAACAGGGTATTAATATATTATAATGATAATTAAGATATGGTAAAGTAGTATCAGCTGTAGTAATTACATTAAAAACATCTAAGGGATCAAAAACATTAAAATTAGATCCTTCAATTCATGAAAACTTAACAAGAGAAAAAGTAACTATTGGAGATGTCATCTATATTGAAGCTAATAGTGGTAATGTTAAAAGAGTAGGAAGATGTGATATTTACAATAGTGAATATGATTTAGAAGCAGAAGAGTATGTACCATTACCAAAAGGTGATGTACATAAAAAGAAAGAAATTGTTTAAGATGTTACATTACATGATTTGGATGTAGCTAATGCTAAACCATAAGGAGGACATGATTTTGTTTCTTTAATGAATCAATTAAATAAAAAAAAGAAAACTGATATTACAGATAAATTAAGAGGAGAAATTAATAAAGTTGTGAGCAAATATATTGATTAAGGAGTTGCTGAATTAGTTCCTGGTGTATTATTTATAGATGAATGTCACATGCTTGATATAGAGGCTTTTACATTTTTAAATAGAGCTTTAGAATCTACTCTAGCTCCAATTGTTATTTTGGCTACAAATAGAGGTTAATCTTAAATTAGAGGAACAGATATTGTCAGTCCTCATGGATTACCAGTTGATTTATTAGATAGGTATTATTATTAATATATTATTATTATTTAAGATTATTAATTATCAGAACAACTCCATACAATTTAGAAGATATTATTAAAATATTAGCCATTAGAGCCTAAACAGAAAGTTTAAAAATATCTGAAGAAGCTTTATAAGATCTCAGTTAAATAGGAAATGAAGCATCTTTAAGGTATCTATATAGTTAATAATTAATTTTAGATTTGCTATTCTTTTGCTCACTCCAGCAAATATACTTGCTTAAACTTCTGGAAGAGAGGAAATTGGAAAATAAGATATTCAAGAAGTTCATGATTTATTCCTACATGCCAAATAAAGTTCAAAGGTGTTAGAGCAACAAGCTGATAAATATATTAGTTGATGAGTATTATATAATAATATAATAAATCAATTTTATCTTACTTAATTAATTTATTTTTGAATATTTTTGGATATTTATATTTTTATAATTATGGAAATTCAAAATTAAATCACAAATATTTGCTTAATCCAAATTAATCTTTAAGGCTCAAGTATTCATTTCTTATATTGACTCCAATTTATCCAATAGCACTTTATGTACCATTATAGAGTGCACAATTATCAAAGACTTATAACATGTCTGCATGAAATTCTTTGCAAGATTTGTAAGCATTTACATTCAATTTATTCTGATTTATAATATAAGTTGATTATTACTTTGATTGTTCCAAAATCCATAGGTCTTTTAACAATTTCGAAATAATCATTAATATGATATTCTTTTTAATCAACTGGTTTATGGAAGAAGTATGCACCTTTTGATTTCCATATTTAAGCTAATTATTTAATATAGTATATACCAATTAATTTTTTGGCTATTTTTTCCCAAGTTTCATCTTCTTTACATTAATTAATCATATTATCATCAATAATATCATCAGCATTTAAAATCAATTAAGCAATTTCTGGATATTATCTTTAAAACCTTGAAAAATCTTCATTAGTTAATTCTCTTTATTATCCTTTATCATCAGTATGTAAAATTTTGTATTATTATTTTGGTACATCTTTTTATTTTTTTTTTATTTGTTTTTATTATTCAGTTACTTTGACAACCTCTTCTTTTTTTTAGTGAACATCTTCCTTTTATTTAGACATACTTGCTGTAATTAAATCAATAACTTCTTTTTTCTAAGATTACTTTGCAAAATAAAGAGCTGTTTTTTTTTTATTATCTAAATGATTAACTGGACAACCAGCCTAAATATATTATGATAAACTTACTTCTATCAATAATTTACAAGCTTCAAAATGTCCTTTACTTGCTGCATAAAATAAAGCCGTTTAACAAGATAATGTATCTAAATGACCTACATCAGCACCTAATCTTATAAATCTAAAAAGGTTAATTCTTATTTATTTACTTTTAAATTATATCAACCCTATTTTCTCTTGATGCATAGAATAGAGGAGTTTATCCATAAGAATCAGGATCAGATATATTTATACCTTAGGTGATTAAATAATCAAACAGCTTAGTTTTACCATCTCTACACACATAAAATAAGATAGATTATTTGAGATTGTCTCTAAAATTAACATTTGCACCCAGTTCACATAATAACTTTAGTAACTGTAATGAAACCTCTTCATCTGAACCTTAAATTGCTATAAATGTAGATATTTATCTTGTTTATGGATCTATTCTGTTTACTAAATCTACTTCTTTTTAATATTTATCTAAGATTAAATAAGTTATTGCATACTTAAGATATGCTTTACTTTTTCAATATGCTATAAATGCAAAGCTTATTTAAATTCTCCTTGAATTACATAAATTTACTCAGATGTTAATTTATCAATTGGAATTTCTTATTCAACAGGTTGTAGCAATTATTGGAACTAATTAATGTCTATATAGTTAATCATCTCACCTATTTCAGATTCGATTTAAGAGACTATTGAGTGTATCTATGACTCATTATAATTTAAACTTTGTAAAATGTTTTCAACTTAGATTGAATTTATTCTGTCATTATTTGCCGCCATTCTAAATCTAGTTAAAGCAGTTTATAGAAAATTTTATGAATTCATAATTATTAAATTAAATAATAAATGAAATTCTTAGAAAAATCAACTTAAATTATAAGTATTTGATGTTAAACATTGTAAAATATTATTTGCCATTCCAATTGATTTAAAAGAAATAAGAAATTAAATATATATTTTTTTTTTCATTAAATTATACTAATCAATGTTTTTTAGCATATTTTTATGTATATTCTCTTGCTTTCATTAAAGCTTATCCTTCATTAGTTTTCCATTAATTAGCAGCTTCATTATTTAATGGATCATCCTTAATATTATTTATGACAAATCATACAGGGTTTGGTGAGCTTAACAATACTTAAATTGATAGCAATATAGATCTGATTTATAATGCAGGTGACCATTTATCTTTTAATACATCTAAGCAAATTCTTCCCAAATTATCAATATTTGGATGATAAATCTTTGTATTGAAAACACATTTAGGTGGGGACTATAAATCTATTTTTAAGTAATTTTACCATGGGATAATCATCAGGTAAAAGTAATTCAACATCAAATACACCTCCTTCATATGGTGTATTAGGAGGTCCTGATATTATGACATAAAAATGTTTGAAGTTTTGTGGATCTGGAGTCACATCAATTCCTTACACTTTATCTTTAGCTAAATTTTATGTCTCTTTGATAATTCTTGGAGTTGGTTAAGCCATAAATTGTTGAAATTATATTTTTAATAATATTTAAATTTGTATGAGAAATAATATTTATACTCATATTCAATAATCATATTCAAAAATTAAATCAAATTTCATCAAGATTATAAAATTCAAGAATTAAATATCTAAATAAAATATTATCTTTAAGAAAATTGAATATATATTTTATTTCATTTTTAAATGTCTATCTACTCTAAAACAGTGAATTAAATAAAATTCATTAAATAGACAATCTATGTTAGCATAAATTAATAAGTTTTAATTGATTCATTGACATTATTATTCAAATAAGATACCTAATTTTATACGTGAATTTATTTTTTTTTATAATTAGTTTTTAAGATATTCTAAATAATGTTTAAGTTATGGAAAAATTTTGAAAATAAGTGATGTATATTTTGAAAATTTATTTCAAATAAATGTTAATAATTCACTCTAAAATGGATAGAAATTAACGTAATTAATTAATTCAATTTTTTTAAACACAAACAATACTATGGACACTTTAAAATAAAATTAAGGTATTATATTCCAATAATTTACTTTATTTTCATTTACGAATTAATTTCAAATTAGTAATTATTATCTATATATATGAGATTGTATATTTCATATTTTATTTATATATTTTAATTAAGGATTATTTTCTCATTATAATCAGATAATTATCTTAAAATTGATAATAAATATTTCTTCTTAATTAAAAAGAATTAAAAAAAAATAAAATTCTCCGTGTTCTAAAAGTACAAATTCTTTCGTAAATAATAATAATTATTTATTTCATATATATTTAAGTCAATGATAGTCATATTATTAAAAATTACCTAAAATAAATACTTATTTTTTCTATATTTCTATATTTATCTATAATCAAGAAATCAGCATTATCATTCTTCTTTTTACATTCAATAATTGCCCATATCTATCCATACTATTTATTGCTTAAACTACAATTTTTATTGTATTCTTACTACTCTTCCATTAATTTCTAACTATAGAAATAGTCTTTATTATTTACTTTATTTTATATATATATTTAGTCAATAGAAGATATTTTTCAATATTAAAAATTTGAAAAACTATCTAAATTAAGTCTTCAGTTTATAATATTTAGGATAAATGACTTAAAATATAATATATTAATAAATTTATTGGTAAATTAAAAATGTTCACTAATTAAATGTAACAACCAAACACATCATATGGACCTATGCCAACTTAATTTGCTTAAAATCAAAATCGAAATTCTTAATAGCCTTCTCTAGGCCCAAATTAGAAGTAAATCTATCCTTAAATGGTATTATTGTTGACTTATAAAATTTAAATAGATTCCTCCTTAATAAACTTAAAACATTCCTTAAATACCAAATAGTATTCCTCAACCAATTAATTAATCATAGTAATAAATTAGGCCTAATACCATTTCAAATAGAATGATACCATAACAAGTAAAAAATATTGATCTTATTATGCTAGGAGCCTCTTAGATCAATCAGAAATTAAGTATAACCATTTTAATAGTCCCCTTAAAAATATATGAATATTGATAATCCAATATCAATTAGAAACTAGAATAATTTATCTCCTTAAGGTCCAGCATCACATAAAAGTAATGCCAATCTTTCTGGATAAAAACCTGCATTTGTTGAATATTTTCCACCAGTTTATGTTCCTCATATTGAACCTATGATTACATAAACAGTTGTTGACAATCCTATTAAAGTAGTGGATTTAATGAAATTTGAAGAAATGTGGATGAAAAGAATGCAAGGAATAGAAGAATTATTAGCAACAAAACAATAACCAGTAGAACCAGAAACATTAGAATTAAGGGCTGTGTAAAATGATGATAGTGAAAGAGTGATTGAACTTTAAAATGAGTTATTTAGAACAAAATAATTAGTAGAAGATAGAGATAAAGAAATTATGGATCTGAAATCTTAATTATAATCTGCAATTGAACAATTGGATTTTGAAAATTGTATATATAAATAATAAATTTTAGAATAAAGTAAGAACTCAGCTTCCATGTTGATATCTGAATTATAAATGAAAATAACTAATCTTTAATCAACAATAGTAAATATTTAACTTGAACTTAAATAATCTGGTTAAAATTTGGAAAAGTATAAATTAGAAAATGTTTAATTGAAAAATGATGTCTAAAATTATATAATGTAATGTTAAATAAAAGATGAGACAATCATGAAATTGAATCAGTAATTAAAATAATTAAATTTGGATCTTTGTACATTATTTAATTTTATAATTTTTAGAATCAAATCAAAATGGATCTTATACATAAGTAACTGAATTATAAATACAAATAACAACATACTAATAAACAATTTCTAATTTAAAAAATGATTTATTATTGAATGCTTAATTAATAGAAAAATTACAAAGAGAAAATGGATAATTAAGATTAGACATCTAAAATTATGTTGCTAAATGCAATGAGAAAGATGATTATATTTAAAAACTAGAATAAGAAATATCAGAATTAACTTAACAAGTAGATTAATTATCTGAAGAAATTACAACAACTTAATCAGTCAAAACATATGAAGAAGAAGCTAAAATTTGGAAGAAAAAGTTCAAAGAACTGAATGATGTATATCATTCATGCTAAGAGAAACTTATGGTTAAGGAAGCAGAATATGAATCATTATAGAAATAATAAAGTTCCTAAAAAATAGTAACATAAACCACAGTAGTCTAATAACATAGTTCCAGATAAGTTAAGAATGTAATATTTTACAATATAATTTAAAGGATTCTGATTATGTTTCAAGCAGTTTAACTTAAAATGATATTGAAAAATTGCAGAATTTATAAAAACCATTATAATTATGATATTAAACACATATATTTTATAATAAATCAATCCTATATCTAGAGAAATTACAGGATATTTCTTTATTAATTATAATATAATTCTTTATTTTATATTATAAATTTTTGATTCTATTAGAAATAAAGTGAATATCAATACATTATTATTAAATGATATATATATATTTCTCATAATGCTTTAAGTTTTGCATCCAAATCATCCAAATTCTCTTGAGGGTTTACTTATTATTATTATTGCTGCATAGGTTAATTCAAGTTATTCTATTTGAGTCCTCCACCACCAGTACCGGCTCCAGCCATTTTAGTTTCCATTTCTTATATTAATTTATCAGCATTTTCATCATTATACTCATCTTGGTCTTCATTCATAATTTCACCAATTTACTCTATAAAATTATACCTTAATCATACCTTGTAAGAAATTCTATTTTTCACTCTCCATTTAAAATATCTCAATAGCCTATTAAACATTATTGACATCAATAACTGAATTAGCCTATTTCATCATCTTTGACATTCCTGACATCACTTATACTAATGTTTCTGTGGTAGCTGCTGAGTTTAATCTATACAAATATTTAAAGCTGAATAATTACTGGAACATGACATCATTCATTTAGGCGTCTAGTCTCTAATATTTTTGAATATATTGCTAATTTCGTAATATAGCTGCAGCTAACATTCTTTATGTCGACTAATTGATAATTATAATAAAATACCTTAGGTTCTTTTGCTTTAATTGATTTCTCTAATTCAGTCTTTTGCTTTTTGCTCTACATTTCCATTCTCATAATCTCTCTATTAAACTCTCTTTACATTCTTCGAATTGTTCTTGAGAATTCTTTGACCATTTCTAATTGATATAACAAAAGATAATACCCTTGACAGTCTTTGGTGGTTGAGGAGGAGGAGGTGGTTTATTGCCCATTTAAAATTTGTATAAAAAATAATGAAGATTTTGCGATTATTGTTTATGTTATATATTCTGTAAATATACATTAATTATTAAAATTAATATGGAAATCATAAATAATTTATAGAATATTTTTATATTTCATAGTAACCATAATAATGAATCATAATAAATCTTTTAAAATTAAAAAATGGATTATCATATAAGATATTAAAAATGTTAATTAAAATAATAATCATAAACAACAATATATTTGTAATCCATATATTATATAAATGGATTAAATAGAATACAATTTTTTTATTTTTCAGTCATCATTAGTTTCAATTTTAACATCAGCTAATAGTCTTTTTATATGAATTTAAAGGTAGACGATCACATAATTAAAAAAATAAATTCATTTAAGGATCTCAACAGTATAGTATTATTTTATGATCAGCAATATCATTTGAATGATTAAATTAGATTAATAGCTGTTATAAACTAAACCTAGTGTTATTTTTAAGAGATTATAAAAATCTTAAGGTATGAAACAAAAACAGAATTTTTATATTATCTCTCTTGAATATGTTTTAATATTGAATAATTTCCATTTAATAAATGTTATGATGACCAGTTTATAAATTCATATTTGATTCTCATCAAAGAATTGTCTAAGTCTCGATAATAAGTCTTCCTTTACTTTATTAGGAATAGTAGCTTAACCTCTAACATATAACATATCTGTCAATTCTTCAATTGTTATTTTTTCAAGTCCTTTTTATCTTATGACTTCTTTACAATAATCCTTTAGATCATCTCTCCATCTACATTCAATTAGTTTTTATCTCAAATATTCTTCCAATCTAAAATGATAACATTATGATTACCTGGAATCTTCACCTGTTTCTCTAAGTTTTTAAGCCAATAAATTAGTTCTTTAATTGATAAAATCACCAGCCAATCTTGACTATTGATTCATTAGTAATTTATAATAATTTATAATATAATGAATTCAATACTAAAGGTAGGATAACCATATATCGAAAAATAACGAAAATCAACTATTAATCAAAATTCTGGGAAGCAGATTCAAAACAAACTTCATAGAAGAATCAAAAATCCAAAGACTGATTTTATTACACCAATTGCAATTAAATAAAGTCTTTAATAAAATGAAATTAGTCAAAGATTGAAAAAATTGCTTTAATCTAGTCCTTATAATAAATTAGTATCTTAAAGGTCATAACAATAATTAAATTATTAAGATAGTTTTAAATCATCATAATATCAAAATTGTTATACTCCAAATTAATAATAATCTTAATAATTGTTTAAACCTGAGGTTAGAACAAACTCTTTGAATTCTACTAATTCTAGTAGTACAAAGCCTAGAACGTGGAATAGGGCTAAAAATCTATTGTAAAAACATTCATTTGATTTTAAAAATTCAAAATCTTTTAGAGAAAAAGATAAGCAAACAATTTCTTAGATTCAAACCTTATTGGAGAAAACATCTATAGTATTATAATAGTTCAAAGAGGAATTATCAAAAAATGATGTAGAAAAAAAGGATTTATCAAGGAAAATAGAGAACTTTTAACAAATAAAAGAAAATAAATGAATAAAATGATCAAAAATATATATTTTTTTTTTTTTCTATTTTCTGCATATAAACCAATATAATTGTATTAAAATTAAATATATAAAGATTTAAAACTTTAAATCTAATCCTTCATTTATAGTTTATTTAATTATATAATTTAATTAATAAGAATTAATTTTATTTTACATTTAAACCAAACAACCTACTGCTTTAACAAGCTATTATCTTATATATTGTATTCAAAATAATATAGAAGTATATATATTCATTCTTGTACCTCATAGGAAGTGAAAATTTGTAAAGAATTTTCCTAAATTGTGCTGTCTTATCGACAAATATCTGCAAAGAAAGAGTTTATTTTAGTTTTTGCATTTTCTGGATCAATTGCTTGAGTGCAATCCTTTAAAACCTTTACTTTATATCCTAATTTGATGGCATCTATGGCAGTGAATAATACACAGTAGTCTAATGCTAATCCCCCAACATATATTGTATTCACATTTAAAGTTTGAAGCTAAATTAGTTATATTAATAGTACAATTTCATGTAAATTGGTCTTATCTTCTTCACATCCAAAGCCACTATAGCTTTCATATTTAGAATTTGTTCCTTTATGAACAAAAATATCACCATTCTCAATTTAAATGTCTTTATGTATTTAGGCTCCAAAGGTATTTTAGACACAATGTACTGGCCAAAGATTCTAAATCTCTTCCTTAGACAATTCATGTAGATTCGGATGGTTTACCTTGAAGGAAACATGATTTTGTGGGTGCCAATCTTAGGTGAAAATTACATTTTTAAAGTATTTTCTGACTTTGTTTATCTTGGGAATGATTTCAGAGGCTTTTTATACAGGAAGTGAGCCTCCTTCGCAAAAGTCATTTTAAACATCAACGATAATGAGCGCCGAGTTTTCCATTTTGTTATTTCTATAACTATTCAAAAATAATTTATTAATATTAGAATTTCATAAATGTACAACCTTAAATAATGCGTTTTAAATCTATTAGTAGAGCACCAGAATTAATTATTATGTCATATTAATATTGTTTAATCAGAAAATTTATAAATATAATAATATATTATAATAATAATAATATAATATAAAATAATATAAAAACACCAAACCGTAATTATGAATTATAATTTTAATATTTCCAATTATTTTTCCTTAAAATTATATTATTAATAGTAGTTTAACCCTTTATTAATAGTGCTAATATTCATCTGCAATTAATAAATATAAATTTTTATCAATAAATGCAATAAAAGTTCATTATAATTCATAAACATTTAGTTGCTTTTATAATTAAATCAATTAAAAATGTCATTTGATATTTATAATATAGAAATACCCTTAAAATATAAATTTTGGATTGCTAAATCAGACTAAATTTAATTTAAATAACATTAAAAAGGGTTAAATTTATATAAAGGTTAATCTATTAAAATATATTATAAGAATTGATTCAAATATTATAATTGATATCTGAAATTATTTATTTTCAATAGATAAGCAATATATGATTAAGAATATTTTAGAATATTGTTTAATTTAGAAATTTATAAATAAAGATAATTATTTTATTTAATGTAAATTCCAAATTACGATAGAGACTCAGTATGCTCATTTTTCAAGAAGCTTACAGGAGATATTTTATTTTATTTGGATGAAATGAAATCTGACTTTGCTAAAAACCCTCCTCAAACTAATATAAAAGATAGAGTGCTTGTAATTATCATTTCTAAATTAGTTATGGAAAGATAAATATTAATAATCACTCAATCAATGTATAATGACATATATTATGAAAACAGAATAAGTTGATGTGTCTTAATTCTAATTTAAAGAGTTTCTAGATAAAGTGACTGATGAATATTAAAATGATTAAGAATTTATGGATTTATTAAAGCATTGTAATTAAAGCATAGAAAATCTTAAAGATTTTATTAGAACAAATTTAGCTAAAGATCCATCCATTTATGTAATTAAGGATATTTGATTTTAAATTCTATTTACAATTGTAATATCATTGATTATAAAATGGATTATTTAATGGGTTTTATATTTTATAATTTATTAACCATTATGTAAGTCACAATGATTCTAATGCACTTTTTGCTTAGTATTTGACTTCTGCATCTTAATCATCACTAAGAGTTTATAGAATTTTTTTCATAGGATCAACGATATTACCCCCCTTTTCCTTTGCCAATTATATGGATGTTCTACATACGTTACTTCTTATATTAGCAACTGAATCTTTGGCCATTGATTATAAAATAGGGACTATAGTTTTTATAATGTATTCATTGTTTAATTAGGAAGTAATTTGCTATAATAAATACATTATATACATTGATTGTGAATAAAACAGTTAATCGATGAAGATAATTTTAAATTGATTAAAATGCCCAAATTTTTGTTAATAGATTTTTATCTGCCCAAGCTAGTCCAAGAATAGATATCAACTAGGCTGTTTATTAAATGGCTGTTTATCTAACTGAGAAGACTTTATCGCCCATCCAATCTAATAATAACTTAAGAACTTTGTCAGATAAGAATTCTGGGCCTATAGCTCTTGCAAAGAAACTTAAAACTTCTATTGTTGAAGCTCTTATTCTCCAATTCTTATCTTATGCTAATTCTGTCAAAGCAGGAATAACACTTTAAGATAAAGAATCAACACCCAATACATTTGTAATAAGACTTAATTTTTTAAAGAGTGTTATTCTAACTTCTGAATCTTAGTCTTTGAGTAAGGTCAAAAAGATTGGTAAGATTTATTCACTTGTATTCTTCTTTCCAATAATAGGACATAATGCCAAAACTGAAGAAGCTAATGCATCTATTTGGATTTATTATTTAAATAAATTACTTCTAACAAATGCATTAGTATCAGATTATATTGATTTTAAAAGAGGAATCAATTTATTTAATATATCTTCTGGATCCATTAAAGTACTTACTCTTTCAATTTTTAATGCAGCTATGGATTTCATTTCAGGTTCATTATCTTATAAAAATTTGAGATGGTAATTTTAGAAATTCTTTCTATAACCTTCTTTAGTCACAGCCTCGCCTATCTTTTTTATATTTAATAATCTTACTTCAGCCAATTTATCACAAAAATAATATCTAACTCTCCATGATTGATCTTCAGCTAATTATTTAAACATATTAAGAACAAAGTTTTATTATTTTTATAAGAAAGGTGTTTTGCTTGCTTGTATTAATGCATCTACTATATACATTCTAATAAAGTCTTATTCATCTTTAATAAAGGAATTCAATATATTTTAAATGAAGGTTTCATTTACTAATGGAAAATGTTTAACCAAATCCTAAATTTTTGAAAAATTAATACTTAAAAATACATAGATGTGAATTTTCTAACTTATGGAATTTGATCTTAAGACATTTTGAGTATGATATTAATTAAATCATTCTAATTATTCTATGAAACTTAATTAAAAATTGCTGGAATTAAAATAGCTACTGCATTTTTTGCCATGTAATAATCGCTATCATTTAATCTCTTTATAATTCCTATTGATAATTCTTCAACTTTCTTTTAGTCTGGTAATTAAGTTAGACATTTTTTGATTTGATTGGCAGCCTTTATTAATAATTATTTTACTTTTTCTCTTACTGAAGCATCTTCTACTCTGCATAATGCTTCAAATGTAGGCAGTAAAACTTATACTTAACCTCCTACAAGCTCTACAAAATTTCTTGATAGTGAATCTACTAATTCGATCAATACTTCATCATCATCATCCAACAATTCTAAATTAGATAATTGCATACCTTAAATGAAAGGGATAAGTTCATTTTTTGTTCTATCTGGACCAATTGTACTAGCAATCAAATCTAAATGTTTGACTGAATGAATCCTTTTTCGTATATCATCACTTTTTAGTTCATCTATAATCAAATTTATTGGCATTCCTGTAGTATTTTCAATTTTGGGCATCTTTTAATTAATTTATTAAATACATTATTTTTTCTTTCGATTTTTATTTTAAATATTAACCGTTGATATGTAATAAGGCTAAGTCAAAGTTATTGGTAATTACAGCTACAATCTAAAACATTGTTTAGGGGAAGGTGCTTATGGTAAAGTATACTAAGGACTTGATACCACTAATAATTTAAAGGTGGCTATCAAAAAACTTGATTTACGTAATTTTGAAAGAGATAATTATCTTAAACAATCAATCATATAAGAAATTGAAATTCTCAAGAAATTTAATCATAAAAATATTGTCAAATTTATTGATTTAATTTCAACATAAAGAAGTCTTTACATTATAACAGAATTTTGTAAAGATGGAGATCTAAGAGAAATTATGAGTAGAAAAAAATATAATGAATAAGATGCTTGGAAAATTATGAAATAAATCATATAAGGATTTCGTGAACTTGTATCTAATGCTATCATACATAGAGATTTAAAACCAGCAAATATTCTTAGTCATGAAGGAATATTTAAAATTGCTGATTTTGGATTTGCTAAATATGTTGATAATTTTAGTAATCAATTACTAAGATCATGTGTAGGATCTCCATTATATATGGCTCCATAAATTTTAGCAAGAAAACCTTATTCTACTAAATGTGATATTTGGTCTCTTGGTGTCATATTTTATGAAATGGTATTTGCTGATGTTCCTTGGAAAGGAAGAGATGAAAGAGATTTATTAAAGAATATTTTAAGTGTTCCTGTTTCAATCAAAAAAGGTTTTCTAACTACTAAATGTGAAGAATTCTTGAGAAAAACATTAACTATAGAAGAAAATGATAGAATATCATGGGAAAAAGTATTTGAAATGTTTGAAGTTGTGAATCTTCCATCTGATTAGAGAATATAAACTTCTCCTAATTTAAATATTAGAGTAAATAATCATTAGAGTTCATCAAATAATGAAAAAGAAAGAAAGAAATCTATATTTTAAGGTCCATCATAATCACCTATGCATTAAGCATCTGCTCCTATTTAACCAATTTCAGTCTAACCATAAACACCATCTATTAAGAGTTTAAGAAATGAAATTATATTTAGGAATTTTGTATTAACAACTGAATTATTCCCAAGATACACATCTAATAAAAATAGTATTGTAGAAAAACTTATGATATGTTTAAGTAAAACTAATATGGCAATGCAAAATAGTTTATATGCTTTAGCTAATTAAATTATGGTTCCAGCTATTAAAAAAGATTAAGATTAATATATATAATTTCATTCTGATTTAATTGAAACATTATCAAGAAATGGTTAATTATAACATTGTGATAGAGAATTGGACATAAATTCAAAGGATTAGAATTGTACTGATAATGAATGTGATAAATTAAATGCAACTTTAAATACATTAATTAAATAATTATGGTATTAATTAATTAATTATTTTAAGTTAAGAAATGCTTGAGGAACATAAAAGAACTCCATCTAGACCTATCATGTTATTATTAGACAATCTAATAGATATTATTATAATTCATAAAAAAGTTTAAAGATGTGTGGAGATAGATTATGATTAATTAAATGCTGAAAAGGCTGAAGAAGATGATCCAAGAAAGATTATGGATACTGTTATAGAAAAGCTTAGATAAGCTTGATTTATTTTTCAATATTTTTTCTACCTATTATTATTTTTGTTAATGTAATAAATTACTAAAACTTTTTAATCAAACTTATAATATTGTTATTTATAATTATCAAAATTTAATATAATATTACATTTTTTAAATATCTATTACTCTTTTTTAAGAAGTAATTGATGATTAGAAATTCAGAAAAATTCATTTTTAAAAAGATTTCATTTTTCTTTTTTCATTTTAAAACTTATAATTATCATATTATGTCATTCAAGATATAACTTTATTTACTTTATTATTAATATAATAAATCCTTAATGGGTAGCAATTGTTCATTCAATCAACAAGGTTCAGAAAGAAGTATGATGATGAGATAAGATTCATTTTTTGAAAATGGCCGAATTGCTAAACCTTAATTGGATAGTATGATAGGAGCAAGTTAATTAACATAAATGGAAATCCCTAATGCTTAATTAAGATCACCTACTAAGCCTAGCATTTCTAAATAAAATGAAATTAAATCTTTAGTTAGAGTTCCCTCTGAAGAAAGTTTATTTTAAAAAGAATTTTGCTAAATAAAAGAAAGCAAACATTAAAACAACCTAAAGTCTGAAAAAACTATTCAACCTAAATTACAGATTAATTTACTAAATCAAAAATAACGATATCATCAATAAAACCAATAATAAAGCCCTAAATTCTAATCTGCTACTAAAAAAAAAAAGTTATAAGAAAAAAGCCAATCTCATTCTCCTCATTAAAATCAATATATTCCATAAGAGAAATCAAAGAAAAAAAGAGAATCTCTTAAAAATACACATAGAAATTTAGAGAAAATAGTACCAAAAAGAAAATATTCTGATTTACCTGAGAAAAAAGAAAAAGTTTAATAAATTAGAAGAAAGATAAGTGATATTTGTGATGATCATGCATATATTATTGGATTAGATAGTCCTACTAAATTTAGATCATTAACTCCTAATTCAATTTTAAAAAGAAAAGAATCAGAAATCGAAACTAATTCTCCTCAAAAAAAGTAAGTTAGATTCAAAGATTAAAGATAAAAAAATCTTATTTGTACCTGATTCTATAAATATATATATATATATTTTAATTCATGCATTAAATTATGGAAGTTAATTAATTATTATTTCTAATTCTTTGCAATGAATTTAAACTAGATCATTATTTTTATTTTCTCTATATTTAATTAATGTTGATTCTTTAAAATGTTAAGATTCAATTTAATATAAATCTAAATCAATGATTAATATTGTATATAAGCATAATAATTTAGATTAAATCCAATCCCTCTCTGAGAATTAATTGTTTTAAAAATTTCCCTCTTTAGCTTTTGCTAGAGAGGATTTAATCTTAGGATATAATTAAGTATATAAATATTTCTATGGTTAAAATTTTGTACTTGTTTTAATATTTAAATTTAGTTATGATTCTAATTTCTATTAAGATACATCATCCATTGTAATAAGATAACTACAAGCCTTCTCTAACAATGATTAAAATTCCTTCTCTATTTTATCATTTTATTATGTTATATTCACTATCATTTATTGATACTATTGTGAAGTTTTAAATTTAATGAAATCATGAAGATCAAATATATTCTTTTCTTTTATTATATCTTAAAGAAAAAGTCTTCTAATTACATATGCTCTCTAATCGTTATATATATAAATACTTTATAAATTAAGGTTAGTGGAATAATCCATTATTTCCCTGATGTTATTAATTTTTGATTCAAGTCATTAACAGTTAGAATAATATATTCTATAATTGATAAATAATGAAAATATCTAAAATAGATAAACTAATACTTTTTTATATAATCAGTATAATTTATGTTCTATTCAGTTTGATCTTCTGGATTCTTAACAAATTATTATTAAGGAATTAAGATTTTTGGATCCTAGAAATTTAAAATTTCTTAATTTTATTCTTTTTCTTATTAATAATCATTATTTCCTTATTAATCTGAATTAGACATTTGTTATTTTAGTTAATAATCCTATAAAGGTTTTTTGATGAATTCTTATTTTTTATTTTATATTTATTAATTCTATTATTGAGTCTAGATTTGATTTAAGTTAGAATTAATTTAGTCTGATAATACTAAATCTTCAATTTAATCTTCTTCGTTTGTCTTATATTATACAGCTGCAGGTGTTTTTAATTTATTTTGTTAAATTACTTATTATTCTTTATTTAATTAATCAGTTTACTCTTCTTTATTCAAAATAATAGTTTCTTTTAATTATTAATTATTCATATTTAAAAAAGGAGACTTAAGATTATCTCTATTAATTTGTGTATTTTGTATTTGAGTATTATTAAATTTATCAGGTTAAATTGAATTATGAACATTTAGAAATATTGAATTATTTTATTATTAGTTATATTTTTGATTGTGTTATTAATTATCATTATTAGTATGTTTTATTATTTTTTATGCATTTGAAATATGATTGGTTACAGGTTTATTAACAATTATTTCAGGTACTGGAGATCCATCAGAAATAAATGGAAAATTTCTCTCCATTTTTTATATTTATTAAGTATTGTTAAATTCTCTACAAAGAGCTGTCTATTAAGACTTTTATTGAGAGAGTGCAGACTTTTAATAAAAGAAATAATTATGAGTTTTATTGTTCGAGATTGTACTTTATTGAATATTATTTTACAAAGTTCCATTTTTATAAAATGATTATTATGTAATACTATCTTTGTTAATATTAGAGGCTGATAATTTTTTATTTTATATATTTTTAGTCATAATAGCAGATGCAAAATCATAGGATGAGCATTTGTAATTAGAAATTGGAATTTATCTTTTTTATCTTTAAATAGCTGCTCTAACAGATTCATTATGAATTGTTTCATATTAAGATTAATAGTTTTATTGTTTAATAGTTCTTTAAGATGAATTTATAATAGTATTATTTTAAGAAGGAATAATAGTATTTGTAAAGTCTATTACACTAGAACTATGTTTTTTAATTTATTTTTTAGAATAAAATTATCTCCATTAACCTACTTCTTAAAATGTTGGTCTTTGAGTAGGATCCAATTTAACCATTTTGAGAATAGATTCTAAAATATCATAATTTAAGCGATTATTTTCTGCTTCTTATTTGATATAATAATCAATTAAATATTAATCCTTACATTAATATATTTTATCACTCATATTTTTTTAACAATTAAGGTTTAATAACAATAAACCAAAGAGATATGTTTTTGTTTTTGTTGTGTATTCAAAATCTTTGTGTTTTTTTATTACAAAATCACTTATACCATAATCTAAAATATATAGCTAACCATCACATGTAAATATAAAGTCTGGATCAAAATCTAATTTCCCTTCTAAAATGGAATATTTTTGATATAATTGTTAATAAAGGGATTTTAATTATTCAATTTTTATCTATTATTCTACATTTATCCAAAAAGCACTATCTTAATAAGAAATTAATATGGCTTCTTAAGATTCTATTATTTCAAATATATAGTCAAACTATTTTTCTCTGAAATTTATTTGATCAATCATTTCCTATGTTAAATATTATCTTGGAAAAATATGCAAAAGATAAACTTAACCATTTTTATGCCTTCCTCGATATAGTTGTTAATAAGGAGATAATTTATTTATAGGCAATTCAATTTCATAAGAACTGATATTCATTTTATATGTATTTATTTAACTAATAATTTTATTGATTTTATCATAATGTTTAATTTTATTCAATATTTTCTAATATATTGACATAAAGCTTCTTGTAAGCATCAATAGCCCAAACATAATCTAAATGAGCATAATCATTTATCATTTTAATTTAAAGAGTGGATGGGTCAAATAATGGAATTGTCATTTAAAGATCTTTTTCATCAGCAATTACATCCTTAGTTCCAATGTAGAAATATTTTGGTATTTTTAATTAACAAAGATTTTCTACATTATATTTTGGAGGAATAGATTAACCATATTCTTTAATATTTCTAGATCTACCATAATCAAAATAAGAAAATGTTCCATTTCTATAAAATTACATCCTAAATATAAATTAATATACTATTACCATTAAACCAATGTTTTTGTTGATGTACCTCCAGGTTCATGAGACACCATAAATCCAAATTTCTTAAGATCTATTTTATTTTATAATGGATATCCACAAATCAGATTGGTTATTGAAAACAAGATTTTTCTGTAGATCCAAGGAATCATATCACAAAGTGCACCTATTTTTAAATTAAAACAATCATCAAAAACAAAAAAGTAAGGTATTCCAATTAATCTTGTGATTTCAAATATCCATGTTTTTACAGCAAATTTTAGAAATACTGATTTCTATTATAATAATATTATATTTATTACTGAATTTTTAATATAAATAACAGGTCCTAATGCTATAAAGCATTTTAAGTTTTCTTAGAAATCAATATTATTTGATAAATATGCAAATGCTTAAGTTGAACCTTAGGAATGGCCTATATAAATTACCTTCTCTTTTTATGAAGCTCTCTTAACATGATTTATTATTGCTTTGAAATCGTATTTCTAAATATCATCAAAACTAAAATTCCAATATTTTTTATTGTATGAAACACCTGTAATCTTGCTATGTCCCATAGAATATTTATTTCCTCTATTATTGGTCAACCAAACATCATAACCTTTATCTGCTAAGATATAAGGCAGAGTTTGTTCATTAGTATTATTAATAAACCAAGACCATGAACTATCTAATAAACCATGTTGTAGTACACTAAGAATAATATTTTATTGTATATTTACATAGGATATTTATATTCCTTTTTGATATTTTTATACATTCTCCATGCTGTGAGAATGTATCCGTCTTCTGTTAAGATTTGATGAATTTCTAAATTATATCCTTTTTCTGTAATCATATCAGCTTAATAATTATGATATAATAAGTACTTGCTGAAGTGTATACTCCTGGATAAGGACGTAGCTCATTGATTTTTATTCTGACTTGATTTATGAAATTTTTATTTCTTAAATCACAATCTCTTACAAAAAATGAAAGGATAAAATCTGTAATTACGATTGTTGAATAAGTGAAATAGTACAAAAGTGATAGTCCAAAAGCAAGTGAAGGTTTTATAATCCAAACAAATAAGTTGAAGAAAATTATTTGAATTAGATTTAATAACATAATATTATTAAAAATTTTAAAAAATAATAAATTCTTAAGAAGCATGCTTCCTTTTATTCAAATCAATATTAATAATCTTAGAATTCCAATTATAATAAATTAGAATATAGAAATCCTTCATGATTGATTTACAAAAATAATACATCTAAGAATTATTATTATATTTATTAGTTTTAATTATCTTCTTGTGATTTCACATCTAATTTCAAATTTCATAAATTGAAGGATTCACCAATCAATCTTTATATTATTATTTAATAATTATAATTAATAAATGAGAGAAGATAATAAATTTTAATAGAAACTATATACGATAATTTAATATATGATATGATTATTCTAAACAAATCATTTTCTTAGGGCTTAGAAAATCTTCAATTTTTCCAATGGACCATGTTATCTCAATTTTTAAACGTGAACACCATAGTATTATAATTCATCCTAAAATATTAATTTATGGTAATACATTAGCCTTATATTTGAGATAGTCAGATCTGAAATAGTTAGTGAAACCCCATTTGGCTGAGACGACAATCTTTTATCTTCCTGGGAACTTATTCTTTCCTCTTCTCAATGCTTCCATAGCATGATTGATTGAAGCATCTTTACATCTCAAAGAGTAGAGAATGCTACCAATTTTAACTCTGGCACATAAACCATTTGGTTTACCAAAGGCTCCTCTCATACCAGTTTAAAGTCTATCTGCACCAGCACATGAAAGCATTTTATTGATTCTGAGTACGTGCCATGGATGAACTCTGCATCTAAGATGGAATGCATCTTTTCCAACTTTCTTAATCATGTATTTATTGATGGCAACTCTGCATGCTTCTAAGGCTTCTGATGAAATTTATTCCTTTTCATCTGAAACAATGTGAATGACAGCCTAATTCATATTAATTATTAAGTACTGGGAATTCCTCAACATTAGCCTTCTTTTTTCCAACATCATAGATCTTAATTTTAGCATCTGGGACACCTCTATTATATCTGGATTTTGGGAATGGTTTACCATTACTCACTCTATAGCATCTTGCTGGTCTTCTGCCCATTTTTATTTAAAAAAATATAAAAGATTAAAAATTTTTTTGAAATAAATCAACCACTATCTCATATATATTTATATTAAATCTATAAATCTAAATTTCAAAATGAAACTAAATTACTTTTAATTTCTTCATAATGATGAGGATTCAGATACATAATTCTGATTTAATTATTCTTTGAGTTTCAAAAGTAATGATTGTACTCATTTCATTTAATATATTTTTAGAAAAATAAAAAAAACGTATTTCAATTATTAAAATAGATGATATTTACAATTAGATTAGAATATTATCTTAAAGAACTTGATTTGATTTTATTAAATATCATTCTAATTATGTTATCTTATATATAAATTAAATATAAAAATAGAACCATAAATTGAAGATATATATATTAACTTATGAAATTGACTAAAATGAAAGATATTAATCATCATTTAATTATGTAATCCATTAATTGATCTAATTACATATGAGCTACATTGAACTCTCTTAAATTAGGCTGCTCGGATGCATCAACTAAATATTCAAGTAAATATTTCAGTTCCAAATCATCCATATTATCATTCCATTCTAAAATTGGAATTCCATTATCTATCTAAAGTCCAAAAGAATGGACTAGATTATCAACAAATAAGGTCTTATTAAGATCTAGATCTGTAATAATTCTTAAATCTTTAATAAAAAATCCATTTTTAGTTTCCATACAGTTAGTTCTGTTTAGAATTCCACTTATATACTGTCTTTTTGGATCAAGATAGTTTATAATAGCTGATGCATACTATTATGAAGATGCTGTGTAAATATAGACTGTATAAAATTGTGATAGTTCTTACAAAAAATATTAGGTATATGGTCTAATATTAATACCAATCTAGTATTATGAATTATATTTACTTCAGTTTCACTTCCATCATCATTTATTTAATTTATTTTGACTTAAGAAATATCTTTTTATAGACTTGCATGAACAAGTGTTTCATCAAGATCCAAAAATATAGTATTCAATATGGAGGGATTATTTCTATTAAGTGAAATCTTTTTTTTTTCAATAAATTAATCAGATGGACCTTTTAAACATCTTTTTGAATAAATTAAACCTCTTTGTGTTATACGTAAATGTTTTTCAAATGTCTCCTCTGATATGGTTGGATTGAATATAAGATGTCTAAAAGGATGATCAATAAGCTTATCTTATTTTGATTCTCCAATCTTTTTAAAATTTCTCATAGAAATTGGTTTGGATTTTATTTATTTCAGTTTTGGGTTTACTTTTATTTTTTCTTCAATCTTTTTCAATTATTCTTCCATAGTTTTTTTCTAGTCATCAATCATAAAGGCAGATTGAATTTTATGTTATTAACTCTCTTTCTCTATTATCTCTGGTTCTTCATCTTTATCTCCTTCATTCACTGTTATTATTCTTTATGTACTGAATCTTGATAATTTTGGAACTACAATCATAATAATAGGATTTACTTATAGCTTATTTCATAGATTCTTGTTTTTGTTAACTTTTATATGTTTCTTCACTTTCATGTGAAAAATTAGAAGGAGTCATACCTTATAAAGGTTTAGGCTTAGGTTTTGGAGTAAAATCAGATGATAATGCAGTATCCCTATCATCCTCACTTTAAAAAGATAATTTTGATCCAGGTGAAGATCTAAAATATGATGATTTAGGACTGGGCCTGAAGTTTAAAAGCTAATCCATTAAATTATTGATTATTTATTGAATAATTCATAAAAAATGTAAAATCGGATTTAAAATTAAAGCAAACTAAAATAAACTCAATGTTGCATCATGAAATTAATGATGTAAAATAAATTAAATTTTATGCATATTTTATTAATTTAAGTTTATCAATAAATTAAATTATATATGAATATTATTTAATAAGAGTACATAAATTACATATAAATTATAATTATTCATATATTTATACAAATAATTATATTTCTTTACAAAAACTACTATTTATATTTAAAATAATTTCCATTGTTTTCTTTTCATTTAACATCCCTCATTATTATTCTCTTTAGATTTTGATTCTAAAATATCAAATTCATCTACATTTTTCCTAAATATTAATTTATATTGTATATTTATAATAATTTATTAATTAAATAGTTTAATAAGAAACTAAAAAATTTAGTTCATTTGATAATATTCAAAATTATTGAAATCTCAATTAATTCAATTGATGAACCCTTTTTTAATTAATTTATAACAAAATATGTTCACCACTTCGACTTATATACCTTAAAATCTTCTTTTCTAAGGTCCTAATAAAGGTATATTGTTATATATACATATATTAAGTTGAAAGTGGTATAGGGCAAAATGAAAAAAGAAAAGCAATAGATCATTATTCATATGCAATAGATTAGGAAATAGGTAAAGGATTCAGTAGTAGAGTATATAAAGGAAGAGATGAAAGAACCTTAGAGAACGTAGCTATTAAAGTACAATAATATCTTTGTTTTAGGTGATTGACATGAAGAAGTTGAAGTAATCAATACATACACAATTATTAAGAAATGAAATCAAAGCATTGAAATCCTTCAATCACTAAAATATTCTTAAACTTTTTGATGTATATTAAACTGAAAATAATACTTATATAATCACAGAATTTTGTGATTCGGTAATTATCCTGTTTTTATGAAGGGAGATCTAGAAAAATTTTTACGAAAAAATTTAAAAATCAAAGAACTAGAAGCTATTAGAATATTATAGGCAATAGTTCATGCAATTAATGAAATAAACATTAAAGGTTTTATTCACAGAGATATTAAACCAGCTAATATACTTTTAAGCGGAAATCAACCAAAATTAGCTGATTTTGGATTTGCTATACCTATTTGGTAAGCTAGAATTTAGTAAAGAAATATCAATGTAGGTACTCCTTTATACATGTCACCATAAGCACTAGGATAGTAGGATTATTCAGAAAAAGGAGATGTATGGGCTGTAGGAGTCGTATATTTTGAGATGCTTTTTGGTAAAACATTTAAAAATTTAATTAGGTAGAACACCGTTTATAGCTTAATCAGAAGCAGCACTATTATAAAATATACTTAATTAATAATTAATTATACCTTAAACACCATTAGTTTCAGAGTTATCAAAAGATTTCATTAAAAAATGCTTATAAAAAGATGATTGTTCAAGATTCAATGTAAAAGATATGTTTGAACATAAAATTATATAATCAAAAAGTTTTTAATATAATTTTTTATAGGAAGATCCTTTTTAAGATATAACTAATATTACTTAATCTATTAACAACTCTTAAATAAAGAAGAATAAAAGAAGTTAAACTTAAAATTTAAAAAGAAATTCTAACAAAGATTATAGCACTCTTTAAATTGATTTAGAAGGACGCAATGAAAAATAATATGTTTAGTAAGAAGTAAGTTAAAGATCATCAAGTTAAAATTAGATGTAGTTACCANCACCACTTCGACTTATATACCTTAAAATCTTCTTTTCTAAGGTCCTAATAAAGGTATATTGTTATATATACATATATTAAGTTGAAAGTGGTATAGGGCAAAATGAAAAAAGAAAAGCAATAGATCATTATTCATATGCAATAGATTAGGAAATAGGTAAAGGATTCAGTAGTAGAGTATATAAAGGAAGAGATGAAAGAACCTTAGAGAACGTAGCTATTAAAGTACAATAATATCTTTGTTTTAGGTGATTGACATGAAGAAGTTGAAGTAATCAATACATACACAATTATTAAGAAATGAAATCAAAGCATTGAAATCCTTCAATCACTAAAATATTCTTAAACTTTTTGATGTATATTAAACTGAAAATAATACTTATATAATCACAGAATTTTGTGATTCGGTAATTATCCTGTTTTTATGAAGGGAGATCTAGAAAAATTTTTACGAAAAAATTTAAAAATCAAAGAACTAGAAGCTATTAGAATATTATAGGCAATAGTTCATGCAATTAATGAAATAAACATTAAAGGTTTTATTCACAGAGATATTAAACCAGCTAATATACTTTTAAGCGGAAATCAACCAAAATTAGCTGATTTTGGATTTGCTATACCTATTTGGTAAGCTAGAATTTAGTAAAGAAATATCAATGTAGGTACTCCTTTATACATGTCACCATAAGCACTAGGATAGTAGGATTATTCAGAAAAAGGAGATGTATGGGCTGTAGGAGTCGTATATTTTGAGATGCTTTTTGGTAAAACATTTAAAAATTTAATTAGGTAGAACACCGTTTATAGCTTAATCAGAAGCAGCACTATTATAAAATATACTTAATTAATAATTAATTATACCTTAAACACCATTAGTTTCAGAGTTATCAAAAGATTTCATTAAAAAATGCTTATAAAAAGATGATTGTTCAAGATTCAATGTAAAAGATATGTTTGAACATAAAATTATATAATCAAAAAGTTTTTAATATAATTTTTTATAGGAAGATCCTTTTTAAGATATAACTAATATTACTTAATCTATTAACAACTCTTAAATAAAGAAGAATAAAAGAAGTTAAACTTAAAATTTAAAAAGAAATTCTAACAAAGATTATAGCACTCTTTAAATTGATTTAGAAGGACGCAATGAAAAATAATATGTTTAGTAAGAAGTAAGTTAAAGATCATCAAGTTAAAATTAGATGTAGTTACCATAATAAAAATTAAAGCATTCTTTAAATACATAATTAAATAATAATAATAATAATAATAATAATAATAATAATAAAATTCAATAAAATCATTAATTAAGTGCTTAATTTAAAGCTAATAATGAAATTCTGTTATTTTATTTAAACTATTGTAGATACTTATTTAAGTTTTCATTACATTTAGCCAATTCTAAAATTTTTTAATTTGAAATCAGAGATAAGATTTTGCTTATCTTAGGAAAATGTATAGTCATTAAAATCTGTTAATTATCTTAAATTTTAAATAAAGAAAATAAACTAGATAATTAATTTTAGCTTTTAGAATATGATAAATACAAACAAAGTGAATAATATAATGAATTTTGTTCAGCAATTTCTGAATATTAAATAAAATATATGAAGCATTTTTAGAATACTTTGGTATAAGCAATTAAAAATAGTAAATTGTTTTTATTTTAATTTAAGATTTTTAAATAGATCCAATAATTGGTTCTTCTTGTAATGATTGTTTAAATGAGAGTAATACTGTTTATGAAATAGCTTTATATTATTTAGATATGGGTCTTAATAAATTATTATTAAATTTAAATTAAATAACAGTATTAAGATAATCTGATAAGTTAATAAATTGTGAAGTAAAAATTTAATAATTTTAGCCAAAATAAATTTTATTTATTATTGAAGGATTGAATAATTGTAAAGAATTAATTATGATAATTTAATAATGTAAATACGATTTTGGAAAATTGTAAAATAGATTCTCATTTGATAGAATAATGAAACAAAAAGTAGATCCAATTAATTATAATTTATCAGAATAATTAAGTTAAAATCAATTTTGAAATTTATAATATTTTTTATTTTTTATAATACCTTTGAATAGGATGATTTTTAAATTGAATTATATATGAATTATTTAAATAATAAAAAATGTTTATCATTATTTTTCTGTAAGTTCTATTTCACTATTATCCTCTTTTTCAGTTGGATAACTCTTAATTTAACGAAGAATTGATTTGAATTGCAAGAACTATTATTTGATATAACATTATTACCTCATCAAAAGATGAATAATGATTTCGTTAATCTTAACTTCTAAATAACATAATCCAATTAAAATATTTATCATTAATAAATTTAAATAAATATCTAAATTAAATAATATAATTACGTAACAACACAACCAAATGAGGATAATAAAAGAGTTCCAAAATATTCTTTCATAGTAAGTTTAGATAAATTAAAAATAAAATTACAATGTTCTCTAAATATAATAATATATATATTTTTACACAACTAGATATTGCATCACAAATATTAATAATAGTTATATGATTAATTTAGCTTTTTCTCTTTTGTTGCTTGATATGCATATATCAGTTTTGCGAATTTTATGAGAAATCATTAAATTAAAGATTTAAAGGTATACAAAAGTATTAAATAGTAAGGTATGTGATTTTAAATCAAAGTGATAGCAATTTTAGCTATTCTTCATTTCTATATATTTTTAAGTTGCAACTTAAATCATAAATAATACCAATAATTAATAAATTATTTATGAAAGGATATTTCTCCACATATTAGATGTAATCAGATGATATCTCTCATTTTATTATCTTTCATATAACCTTCTACTAGCTATTTAATAAATAATTAAATTTACGTATTTCTGTAGCATACATAAAGAAAGCAGTAAAATCAACTATAAATGTTATCCATAATAATTAAGTTTAATTAAAATAATGAAAAATACTAAATGTTTAAAGAATTGATAATGATAATAAAAGAGCTATTTTAAATTAAATGAATTTTCTAACTGCATCAAAAATATTTCTTCCCCAATCAATTGAATAAATAACAGATGAAAAATTATCATCTAAAATGGAGACACTAATCATATAATTATATTATTGAATTATTTTAGAGTTTTAACAAAAACCAACATCTGCAAGTCTATAAAATGCAGGTTCATTACTATGACTAAAAACTCCAACAACATAATTTAATTCCTTTAATCCTTATATGATGGCTAATTTCTCATCTAGACTTGCTCTTACTAAAACTCTTAATTCAGCAGCAATTTATGCAAAGGAGTCCATATCACCAATTTTTGGTATAATTTAACCATCCTATTTTTTATATGTAATTCCTTTGACTAAATCATTGAAAGTCTTTCCAGTCATAACTTTCCTTGAGTCCTTCTAATGCTAATAATTCATTGGTAAAATTCCACATTTCTTACTTAATGATATTGAACATTCTAAACTTTCATTAGTTATCATTCTAACTATTACTCCTGCTTCTTTACATTATTAAATAGATCTTTAAACTCCTTATCTTATTTCATCCTCTAAAGCTATTAATGCAACAAATATTAATTGTTTCTCTAATTATTTTTCAGATAATAATTTCAGATTTATATTAATATCTATATTTTTATATGCAAAACATAAAGGTCTATAACTTTCTTCTCCAAATTTCTTGATTTAATTATAGATTTATTATTTGCTTTATTCAGTTAATCTTTAAGATATGATTTATAAAATACTTTTGAATTTCTCCTTTTGAATTTATAAAGTCTGTGCAATATTCTAAAATAATTTCTGGTGCTCCTTTAGTGTATAATATATATTTATTTTATAATTTAATTAGAACACTCATCATTTTTCTATCAGAATTAAATTAAAAATATTATACAATTTAATTTTAATAACTTTTTCGTATAGTAGTATAATCTAATCCTAATTCATGACAATATTCAAGTAAAGCACAATCGATTTCATTACCAAATTTTTCAAAAACTGTAATATCATTAGATCTATAACTAATTTTTGGATTGGCTGTTGAATTCAAACAAATATTCTCTTAAATTAATTAAATTGTTGAATATCTTAATTTTTTAATATCAAATTTCATTAAAAGTTATTCTTCAGCAAATATTTACACTAATCTAGTATTTCCATTTGTTAAAATTTAACTTTTACTTGTACAAATATTATTAATTCTTCCTAATATTTCACATGAACTAGGTCTTTGAAATTTAATACGATCTCTTTTCATTCTCTTTTAATTATATTAAAGATAAGTTGATACAAATTTAGATAGATTATCATTCATTACCATTAACAAAAGCAATATCGATATTTAACATTATTTTAGAATTGAATGAATAGAATCTACAAAATCAAATAAGTATTCTTAAGTTGATATATGATAACAATAATTTAAAAACTAAATTATTAAAGGTATTATTGCTAATACAAAAAATAGTTTAATTAATTATTATTGTAAATAATTTAATCTTTCTTGTAAAGGTGTTGTATATTCATGTTACAAATTCAAATCACACTTTCTCATATGATATGTATTGATTCCAACTGCTAATACTAATAATTATCCATTTCCTTATAACACTTTAGAACCTGAACGTATAAATGGTAGTTTGTTAGTATTTGTATCAAATAATATAGTTTAGTTTGTTTAATTAGAAATAAGTATTCCATCTACTTCAATCAACTAATCCTCACAAAATATAAGTATATCTCCTACAACTATTTATTCAGATGAAATATTAATCACTTTATCATTTCTCTTTAATTTAACTTTATTGTTTTAAAATTATCTTAAATTATTTAATAGTTCCTGATTATCAGTTTTAAATATTCTTATTAGTAATTGCAATAATGAGAATACTAAAATAAATAATGATTCCATTCTTTCCTATCATATTTTGTTTAGGTACATTTTTAGAATTAGTAATCAGCATAGATAATCCTAATTTAATTAGAGTTATAGCAAAGAAGATTTAATGCCACTTATTCTTTATTATTTGTATTACTAACTATTAAATTTAGACAATATTTAAACTTAATATCTAATAGTTTGTGAATCATAAATTTTATGTGTGCCAAACCTATGATAATTCATGATCTTTACTGCTTCTTTCGTTTATTTATATCTAAAACATTTGATGAATCAAGTCCTATCTTTTAATCAAAATAATATATTCAATACCTGTAAATCCATGTCTAACATTTTTGATAGAGAAGTTGCTGTATATTAAGTATTTTAAGAACTTATAATCTAGAATAATTCATTAGGAGTGATTGTAAACTTATGTAATAATGGTTATTTGTCCATTTATTATTATTTTTAATGTACTTTTAATAAATTATTAATCACTTCTTCTTTCTTTCAACTCCGAGTGTTTATCCTCCTCTACCAGTGGTTTTGGTGTGTTGTCCTCTGACTCTCAATCCCCAATGATGTCTCAAACCACGATTACACCTTAACTTAATTTAATTGAAATACTTGATTTTCTTCATTCTTTCTAAATCTTCTCTTAATTTGGTTTCCAATTCATTTGTTGTGACTTAATAATTTTTGCCATCCTTGAAATCTCTTTATCTATTCAAAAACCATCTTGGAATGTTATAAGCTTCTGGGGATTTAATGACTTCTGTGATTTTGTGAGCTTCATCATCAGTCAATTCACCAGCTCTCTTTGTAAGATCAAGACGGAGGACCTATAGATTATTAATTTATATGCACAATTACCTTGCAAATTTAGATAGCAAATCTTCTTCCGATACCCTTGATACTTCTAATACCATAAGCAAGTCTTTATTTTCCTTCAACGTTTGTATTCAATATACGAATAATGTGTCTGAATGAATCAGCCTTCTCCAACACCAAAGACATTTATTTGTATAAAAGATTTAATTTAATTTAAAATTTTAATGGCTGCTCGATTGTATGCAAATATTGCATGACATAAACTCATTTGTTTCCCTAATTCTATTTTTTTATAAACATCCATCATATATAAATTACATCCAATTTATTCATCTTAATCAATCATATAGATTTCTCTATTAAATATAATACAAAATATATCTAATTAAGAAAATACTAAGTTTTATTTTATTAATCTATACTTTATTATCAAATAAATCCTAGTAATTTACAAATCATTACTCTATTTTTTATTATTTTATTTGAAACAACTGAGAAAATAGTTAATTGAATTAAGTAATATTATAGAATGATATGATTTTATAAATCGATAATTAATATAATGATTTTATATTCATTTTCTACCAAACTTAATCTTTTATAAGAGATAATCACATAAAGCTATAGTTACACTATTTTTGACTTCTTTCAAAGTAACCAATCTTTCAATACCTTCATCATGTGTATATATCAAATATTCTATTGTTCCTTCATTATTTCTTAAATAATTTTACATAACCCTTTTCTGAACTTCTCTTTTTATGAAGAATCAATTGTTGTTTTTCAACTTCCATACTCTATTTAAGTTGCTCTTGAATTATTTTGGTTGTTTTTAAATTAATCTTTTGAGAAGACTTCAGATTCTTTTTTTAATTTTATTCTTATCCCCATTGATTTATAAGTTAGAACATATCTGGTTTAAATTCAATCATTGGTTCATAAGTAATTGAATCTGTATTCCATTTTATTCTATATTCAATTCGTTCTCCTATTTTTTTTAAAAACTAACATAGGGTGTTTAATTTACATATATATTAAATAATAACAGATATATATCTATTATATAAATTATATATAACAGACAAAAATAATCAAGAATGCACAAAGACTTTAATTACGCAATTGAAATTATGGAGATAGAAAAATTAAAATTGCATGAATAAATTGATTATCTTTAGTAATAAATATAACAATTGACAAATGAATATAGTGATAAGATTTTAGAAAAAGATGAAGAATTAGTTACAGCCTTTATAAAAATGCAATAAGCAGAAAGATTAAATAATGAATTAGTTTAAAAATTATAATCAACAAAAAAAAATGAAGA